TATATATATATATATATGCTCTCTAAACTGTAAATGTACAGTTACTATAAGTTACTATAAGTAACTGGCTCGCGCTGCCAGTAATTACGCGGCGGGATATTCAGGGCACAGACCGTGATCATAAGATAGCGCGAATAGAAAATAGAATTTAGAAAATAGACATTGCATGTGAATGAAGCCTTAGATACCACTGATCCAACAGGAAAAAGACAAAATTGTCTGGTAATTTTCACTAACCTCCTTAATTTTGGCAGCCATTCCATCAATCAAGTGCTGGTTAAACACATGACTCTCTGCTGCTACAATGAAGTCTCTAAAGAATTCCTGACACCCTGGGAATGAGGGTGGGGGGCAAGGACCGAGGTGTGTGGTGGGAGTGGTAAAACGCTCCTGGAGTCTAAATTTAAAGACAGTCAGATATTCAAAACACACTTTCACATATATAAAGAACATTGTTACTAAGGTTTGCTTGCGAACTGAATTTTCTATCATAAAATTTTATAAAATATGTCATATTTACTTCAAACAAGAAATGAACTTACTTCTTAAACTTTTCTGGGTTACTTCTTTTGAGTTGTGACAACAGGGCTATATTGGTGTCCTCATCCTGTGATTTCAATGTGCCCACTCCTTTACACATCTCAAATAAAGAATAACAACTGTTCAGTACCTGCACTACTATTTACTGCGGTACAAAACAATACTTAATGAAATCTCTGACGCTACTAATGCTAGAAATAACGTATCAAACTTTTACCCAATGTTAATCATATTCTAGGTAAAGAAAATGAACTATAATTAACAGCTTCTGCAATTCATCATTGCTTTGGTAAAGAATATCTTATCTCTTCATATTTTGACCCAAAAGTTAGCATCGGATCTATAAAAAAGCAAAAACTAAATTTTGAACACATTCTGATTGACAATTTTTCAAAGGCAACTACTTACAGCAATGAGCTGTGCTTGAAATAACCTAGCAAAGTGAATGTGGTTGACCAAGTCCACTGGACAGCTGACCAGACTGCGTATCCGGTGTCCATGGAGTTGTGACAGTGACCAGGATACATCTAGGTGGTTTTCTTCCCATTCACGTACCAATTCATAGAATATGTCTCTGGGTTAATATCAAAAACAATGTATAACAGAACATTTTCTTAATGCTCAAGTGCCTTAAATCATTCAAAGAATGTAATTATTAAATCAATAAAAATCATTTTCAAGTGCTAAGCAAAGAATACTGGATCTGTGAAATTGTTTAACAATTCAGTAAGTCTCTGTCAAAAATGAAACAGACTAAAAATAAAAATAACTATTTTGGAGTAAGAAAAAAATCTTTCTCACCTTTGTTTCTTGAATAAATGAAAAGCTTTATCACTCGGAAAGTTTTTCCTGTTATCAGTGTCAACTTGAAATGACACCCCTCCAATAGGGGAGGCATAGAATACTGACATAGGCTGCAATGGATATGATGATATTTTAATACAATATCCTTTTTATGAAATCTTAATAAGGCAACTAAATCACACAGACTTCTGCCTGCAATTTTTTATTTAACTTCATTGTTGTATTCACTAAATTAAATAACTCTTACACCCTGGAAAATACTTGATCATACAGCTACCAATAAACCTCTCAAATGTCAATAAATAAATAAATAAATAAATAAATAAATAAATAAATAAATAAATAAATAAATACATTAATAACAAAGTAGTGATAAAAGTAACAAGTGTAAGAGATTCATTACTTACTTCAACAGATGACTCTTCATATATATTTGTGAGCTGGGTTTTCAGCTGAACAGAAAAATCTTCTATCCTCTGGTTTTCTGACAGAAGTTTTAAGGTACCTTTATCTAGATACTGCACGAGTCTGGAATTAAAATGAACTATTTTCCATTTTCCTTTAAAATTTCTTTCCTCTATCTTTTCTTGTTGTTATATTTCAGTCAGAAAAAATACACAAAAAACAAACATTCCATATCATCATAAAGCTAGCAAGAAGGTATATGAGGGTTATTATTCAGATGAATTGCTCCATTACATTGGATGATATCTAATATTTCTCTGTAAACTTCACCTTTCAAGCTGTATCAGTTTTTGAATTATGTACAAAAGAACTTCACTGTCATCACTTGACATGTTTTCTCTGATGTTTCTCAAACAACAAGCTAAGTTTAGGACAATTATAACAAATTCAGCTATAACTTGATGTAAAATATGCCCATAGCAAAGGCACCTTGACTCCTACCTGATTTGTAATTCCAAAACCACCACAGCAAAGTACACTGCATTATGTACTGAATGGAAATAGCTGGTCTCATCCCAATCTGTAAAACAATGGTGTTTCCATATTTCAATCAAAATATCAATATTCAAATAATTTTTTTAATCTATTACCATTCTTACGAGTGCTACAATGGGGCCAACCATACATCCTCATCAAAAGGACTTCTACAGATCACTCGGGTTACCCCTTACCCTTTAACATATAAGCCAAATAATACAGCTAATTCACTTAAGAAATAAGCTGAAACTATTTCAGATATTACCATTTGTGCCAATTTATCATTGATCTGGAAACCAATGAGAATCTGACTAATTTAGAATAAAACATGCAAGTGTGACTATTTTTTTACGTACAAAATTTTATATACTCTGCACCTAAACACACCTCTTCACCTCGACTTCCTTGTCTTTATTTCCAAACATACAATAATAAATCACCAACTGTCTCAAGAAAAGAACAAAATACAGTATTACTGTACAGTAACTTTAAAGAAATACATGACTCACCCAAGTTTCCCATACTTTTTGCTATCTCTAAATCCACCCCTCTAGCTGTGAGAAGTTGCATAATGAAGTACAGTTCTACAGTGATGCTAGGGACCAGGTGCTCTGAAATCAAAGTTTTAAGTAATCTTTATATGGAGATTCCTTTCCATTAACTATAACCTATTCAATTAAAAATTAATATATTCACAAATTAATCTCCAAAGCAATTAGAATTTAACTATGTTATCAAATACAGCTCATATATTTCTGTACATAATTTAATGCAACGTTTCATTGACAAGTGAAAAATCTATAAAATATTAAAATGATACAGACACAAACCTTCCAAGCACCCAGAATACACCTCAGCTATAAGATGAAGCTTATCTCTGAATGTGACATTACATGGCTCAGCTACAGTTATCTCCACTATGCTTGCCTGTCTTTCCATGGAGTATTTGCTTGGTGTTTTGTTTGGAGTGAAAGAGGTTATTCCAGATCTTGACTTGCTGGGAGTGGTAAATGTATTGCACTCAGTTCCATTGCTGGCAACTTCATTTCTCTTTGCATTCTCTTCTCTGAAATACACACGTGTCATATTCCTGAACTTGCTTAAACATAGTTCATACTTAAAACAGGTATAAAATTTTACATCTTACATATAAATGCATTACACAGACAACATTTGACTTATAAAATGTTTAGATTAATTAATCAAGAATGAAAAGCATTTTTAATAATTGTATTATCTAGTCAATGCATTAAAAAAAACGTAAAGAGGTAGAATACAATACAGAGACCAATTAACTTATTGTTTTGATTTTGTAATTACTTTAATGACTCCCTGAAGTCATCCAGTTTAAGAAGTGGAACTCTTCTTGGTCCAGCATTCTTTTCCTTTTCTTTCTCTTTGACTGGACTAAGTGCTGGAGCACTGGTGAACAGTGTGTTTGTGGCTCTTTTGATATCCTGATTCACAGGAGTAGGGGTGATCCTCCTCGGCTTACTGAAAAAAAAGTACAAAATATTTGCATATCCTTCTTTATGACATATAATGTCTCTTTCAGTGCTTCAACTGAACAGTTTCTTGGAATAATATGATATTTCTATAAATCTTTAATGTTGTTTAAGAAAAAATATACAAAGTCTTAAACTTTGCTAAAAAGTTGTTGGGTACCATGTTTAAACCCCCGTGAATCATTTACAAATTTTAAACCCAACCACGAGTTGTACAACTCATTCTGGCAAGACTACACTATCTGTAACAACTCACTGCAATAACCATAATATGGTATAATAATACCTTTGTGACTGACTATTACAGGTCAAAGTTGGGAAGTCCTCAGCATCAGTTAAACTGAACCCAGGCAGTTTTGGTGGGTTACGATCTACATCACTGTATCTTTGTTTATGAGATTTCCCTTTACCTCCTGAACGTCTCTGAGATACTGGAGAGGGACTGTTCTCATTATTATTATTTCTGTTTCCAGAAAAGGGACTTTTCTTCTTTCTACCTTCTGTTTCTGGACTAATGAGAAAGTCGCCTAAAGAGTGTTTATGCTTTGATCTGGAATAAGAATCTGGAGTGCTGTGTACTGGAGTGGAGCGAGAATTTTTATTTCGCTTTCCATACACCTCTGGGCTATTATGTTCCTCTTGTCCTTTGAATACAGATGGGTTATCAAAAGAAGCATTTGAGTCATCTAATCTTCTGAACTCTAAACCACTGACAGTGTCTTTCGCAAAGGTTTCCTTCTTAGCTGATGATCCAAAGGATCTGTTGATATGAGGAGAGTCTAGAGAGGTGTTGGCAAGTTCAAAGGCACTGGGCGATGTCTTCTGTCTATCTGAGGTTGGACCAACTGAAAACAACTGTACCCGCTTAGAAGAATTATTCCTTTCCTTGCTCTTGTTTCCAACCTTTGGGGCTGGTTTTTGTTTGTTCTGAAAACTGGTTGGTGTTTTAGCTGGAGAAGGACATGCTGATTTATTGTTTTGTAGCAAATGCACTGTCTTATCTCGAAGGTAGTTCAGGAAGAATGGAATAAATTCGGACCTCTCACGCTCTAGCTCATCTAGATTTTCAGCCTAAATATAAAATGCATTTATGTAAAATACAACTGAAACCCACTGAAATTTTATTTTAGAAAAAATTAAAAATATTAATTCTGCAATGCAAGTCAAAACAGTTTTTGTATTTAACGACAAGGTGTTTCGAAATTAAGTTTTTATCATGCTGTTTTTTATTTAATAAATGAAAATAAAAAGGAAACAAGTCTGCTCCACAATACCATTCATTAAAATTATAATATATCACATATGCTGCAGCCAGTCCAGGTAAAACACTGTCACAGCAAAAGTTGATATTTTCAACGGGACTTTTTAAAAGTTAGTGGTCATTTGCACTTTTTTAGAACAAACCTCCATTGCCGAAATTAAATGTATTTTTTCACATTACCTGATGAGCCTTTTTTGCTAGCCAACGCACAACAGTAAATGGTAAAACTTTCTCCTCTAAAACCAGTTCCAAGATAGTGGCCATATTCGAAAGTTAATTGGGTCAAGAGCCTATCATATATATGGAATGTTTTCGAGTATTGTTTTACACGGAATGAAACTAAAGTGTGTAAGATTCATTAACATATTTTAGGCATGAAATCAACTTGAATAGATGTAATTTTATCAAATTACCAAAATAAAAGAAATTTCTTCATGTTAAGCTTTGAAATAACATGTCTAACACAAACACGAAATCTTTGTTATTGATATTTCCAACTCAAATCCGAGTGCGCAAGCGGAAGTTGCCGTCACATGGGCACAATATTCCCGCGAAAAGTTGTTTACGCAATTAGGTTTTTAAATTTTACTGCACTCATCATAAAAAAGTCATGCCGAAACGTCCAAATCCGTTTGGGGACGCGTCTCCATTGCAGTTTAAAACTGTAGTGCACCAGAAAAACGTTGATATGGGAATAAACAGAGAGGAAAATATGAAGAAAGTTTATGGTAAGAGAGTTTATTTAATTTACTGGACCTACTTCATCTACACCTATGTGTCACAGTCTAGTATAAATTGGACGGTAAAGTTTAATGCGTTAACGCGGCTATTTATGGTTCCTCATATGAAGTACATGTACCAAGATAAAGGTGGTCACAACTGTGGAATGACGGTCAGCTAGCGACTCAGAAAAGTGCATCTGGGCCGGAGCTCTCACATCTTTTGATTTCCTCTCACCTCAAGCCGCATGCTGCTGTAAAGCCAACTAGTCTTGACATTCACAGCGTTGTGAAAAAAATGTCTTCTTGTCTTCAAAGAAATCATAAACTGGCTAAAGATAACCATTAAGGCACTCAAGAGTGTGAGGAGTAAGTCGAGGATTGTATTCTGTCCTGAAGCAAAATGGGTCTTGGGGGAAAATACCTGACTTGACAGGGAATCTAAACCAGGATGCTCCCTTACCATGTGGATGCTCTATAAAGCCCGGGTCTACCTTAACCAACTCTAAAACTGTGGGCCAAAGAACTTTGTGTGCATGATTGTGCCTATTAGTTTGTTCCTTGGTCAGTTAAGATATTGTCATAATTACATCCACTTAGCACCCTCAGAAATCCTCATATGTCTTCAACATGATTGCTTTTATATATGTTTTTTTGGTAAGTTTTTTGTGCTAATGCACTAATGAAACTGGTATCATAGGTAGCTGTTGGTATTCGGCTAACAAATTGGTACCATTTAATCTACTAAACACCAGAGTGGCGAACTTGAATTTGTGTCCAAGATAACATGGGCCAAGTAACTTGCATTCAATGTACAATTCTTCATAGTAACTTGTTTTTTTGGCAAGGAACATTATCTGGCCTATTCATTCAGAACTCTTTAATGGTGGTCTTCTTCAGGTGTATGAATTCTGTGTCATATAATTGCTAATAGGCAGATGAGCCCTTTTCACATCACTCTCAATGATATCAGTTGGCTTTGTAAAACTTAGGAAGTAAGCATAAAGAGAAAGATTTGAGAACCGCCTGCATTGATGCAGACTCAGTATATTGAACTTATCTATATTGATATCTTCCATGTAAGCACTTATAGTAAATATGGCAAAATATAAATATTAACTTGCTGAAGCATGTGCTGCTACTCTTGAAAGTGGTAACACTACATTACAACTCGATACACAGCAAACAACTTCATGGTATGATATTTGTAACAATTTTAAATTCAGTTTTGTTTCACTTCAGAAAAGACGAGGAGTCTGTTGTTTAGTGCTGCATACAAAGGTATCTACAATGCACCATTACCAGGGGACACACCCTTACCTGCAATACAAGAGGATCAAGAAATGATGGACATTGGCACTGGTCTTTCTTGCCCAATTGCTGGTCAACAAAAACTGAACTTTCATGTCCAGCAATCTATTAACAACAATTTGTGCAATATGAGTGGAAATGAGCCACAGAAATGCATGGAGTTCAGAAGTCTCAGTAATGGACATGTGTCTGCAGAACAACAAATGAGCAAAATGCCAAATCATCAATCTGCATTCTCCAGTCTTTTTACTCAAGGTGTGTGCTCTTTAACTACTATCAATTTACTATCAGTATCACTATGATTCAATGGGTTTTATGATCCTACAGTGACAAAGATTTGATTAAAAACTTGTTTCAGGTTTTATTACTGTCGGTTCATTTTTAAGCTTTTCTAGATTTTGATGTTTATGTTTATTTACTGAAAAAAAGGGGGGTTTTATTATTAAGCATCATCTTGATAAAACTAATAATTCTTTGTTCTTTGTAGTTCCTCGACCACATACCCCTGTAGCAGCAACATGCATATCTTGTACAAAATCCATGGAGCCTACCCTGCAACCCTGTCACTTCTGTGATAAGCCTGTGTGTGCAATGTGTGTCAGAACATGCACCTATTGCCAGGGGAAATTTTGCCAGCTGTGCTCAGTATTAAAGTAAGTGCTAATCATAATAAGCAGGTTACATCTTTTTAAGAAGTTAATTTAATAAAATTTTTATTTAAGACAGATTGGTACTGTAAGGGAGGTTTTAACGGGTAGTGTTTCTAGGAAATTAAAGTAAGGAAGTTTTAATCTTGGTGAGATAACATTGCTCAATTTGTCTTTTCAGTTATGATGACATCCTGGAAAGACCATTCTGTTTGAGTTGTAATCCAAGCTAGCAACTTCAATAGTAATACAAGAGTTTGGTGTAGAGACTTTGTAACGTTTGGAGGGGAAATGACAGAGGACTGAAATGTAGATATATTTTATTCAAAGGAGAATGAGATTTGGATTTAAACATCTTTGATGGCAATGTTTTTCATTGGACATGGGATGTTGATAAATAAATTGATCATGCAGATTGTTATAAAGAAAATGAAGATATGAGGAAAGAATATATAGGATTTAGAGGACAATTTATCTTAAAATAGTTCTTTAGAAACTGTTTTCATTTACATTGAATGGTGCATGACAGTTATGATTTAATAAATGAATGCTTCAGTTAATGAATTAATTTGTTCATCCAGTCATTACGCCAGGTATTTAGAAAAAATCAAATCCTGCCAATCTTCAATCATGGCTTGATTATTTTGTTTTCTTCCAGATATTTTGCAATTGAATTTATAGTATCCAAAATGCAATGTTGTATTAGAGTATGTTGTTGCTATTTTTATATCATAACTTGTTCTTTTATAAATAAAAATTTATTATTTCAACAAGTTGTTTATTTCATAATATAGAAAAAAAAAGAAAAATTAAGTCGATTAATAGGCAGTTGAGTATGTTCAATGCAGGTCGTCAAACTTTTAATTTCTCAAGATCCACAATTTGAAATTATTTCTCACATTACTATAGGTAATGACATTGTCTTTGGCACATCAATGTTCTGTGGATAGTTCATAAAACTAAGGGAGTAATATTAAGTTTCTAGCTATTATGTCCATTTGGTGCCAAACGCGTTTAACAGTCTGTAGATAAATCCCTGTATACAGTGTGCACTAAATAAGGAATGTTTATAACTTCCCTAACTTTTCATTACACCACTTCCAGCAAATTGGTTAAAGGCCTAAGGATCTGACCTTTTGCATCGTGTTATCCTTGAGCTTTATTTGATTCAAATATTTCATGTTTGATACCATGAAAATTTCTGTTGTAAGAAAAAAAAGTTGAGTTCACACAATGGTCACAGATGATAAGTTATCTTGATCACGAAAAAAGAATGATACAAACACGTGATTGGAAATATATTAGTGATTTTAATAAGTAAGGATACACGTTGACATAGGTGAAAATATTGAAAGTGCAATTATGATCCCCTACGTGCAGTATTTTGCCCCAAAATGCCCCTTTATCTTCAAATTTTCGATTTTTTATGTCACAGACTTTGACGGTCATATATATGTAAACCATGAATCACGAATTTGTTAGTAGCTTTTAGATATAAACACTGCCTTATTATGGGTAGAGAATAAAATGTGTTCTTAGAATTCCAAGAAGCCAAGTGCTGAAGTACAAGTGGGGAGTTCCCTTTGAAATCTTGAGTCCTTTAATTTTCATTTTGTTCAAAAAAAAGAAAGAAAATATATACAAGTGCTAAAATATCACAGATCACAGATACAATAAGTTCATATCGTAGCGTATGTTTTAAGTAATAAAATGGGAAAAAATTAATCTATCCAACAAGCTCGTCGTGCATTTCTTTGGACAATTTAGCCAAAAGTTTGTGAACCTCTCGACATTCGGTTACGATATGACCATAATAAGTGCACTTTTTACAATAAGTTTTAGCTAGGGGACATTTTTCCGATTTATGAGTCTCTTCCATACAGTATTTGCATCTGGGACATTTCTCCGTTTCATGAGAATCGCCACAATTATCGCAAGTAGGGGGCGGGCCGTCCCTTTTCTTTTTCGGTTTTTTCGGGGGAGGAAGGCCTCTCAGTCGATTGGTGAAATGTTTCAGATTTTCTGCCATCTTTGCTAGGTGTCTTCCAATAGTGGCGAGGTCTAGCAAAATTACTCCACCAATAAGAACGCCACAGATAACGAAAGGGGGCGTTGTCACCGCTACCACCACCTCTGTTTTAGCTTCTACAGGTACGGGTTTCGGAATTTTCTTTTGTACTGTGATTGCACTACCTGGAAAATAAAAATGTAACGTGTTCATAATTTAATGAAAGATATCACTTCTGCAACAATTTCCTACCGTTCACGCATGAGCCTTGCAATTTCATTAATGCAAAAGAAAGGCATTGGTGTTTCACCATTTTCAAATACAAAATTTCAGCATCAAGGGTTTATTTATTTTCTTTAATGAAACAAAATATAATCATATGAACAATGCTTCTCATTTTAATTTTTTTCATTAAAGTCATATAAAGTTAAGATGATTTTTCTTATTAATTAATTTCGTTAATTACCTTCACAGTCAGTAATTTGCGGCGCCCATATTCCATATCGATTGCAGTATGTGATTCTCTCAGTGCTACCATCTACAAAGACCGTCCCGTTGTCACAGAAATAGGTTAGTTGTGTTCCATAAAGGATGCCGCTTCCAAATCTCGTGGCGTTTTTCACCGATGGCTCTTGAGTGCAATCTACCACTGCAAGAAAAAGTTTGTTTTCAGTATTTCTGTCGAAATTCGTCTAATTTACCTTCAAACAATTTTTTTATCCAACTGTAGTAAACTTAGGCCTTTAAAATGTTAAATGTAACATGAGAGTTTGTAAGATAAACTGACACTACGAGGGCATTTTCAAAGACGTGATCCCAATATCAAGTGTAATCATCATCAAGCAAGTATGGTATGTGTCCTTTTCCGTAAAATTCCACAAAGAAATCAACAATGTTCATTAAAGAAGAATAAGATATTGAACTAAATTTTCTCACCGGTTGTACGAATCATTGTAAAATTCCATCCCCCGTCTTTACATATAATGGTCTTGAAGAATGTACCGTCTTGGAACTTGAAGCCAGCTTCTGTGGACACGGTGGCTATTGTCCCCGAGGCCGTGCTGTTTGTGTCTAAAAATGCCCGATCTGGAAGTACAGGCAGGCCACTGCACGGTCCTGTGATCACTGTAAAATGAAGGAATGCCACGGTTAGATGTATCCTTTTCTCTCTCAGTTCGTAAATGTATATACTGTACAATATAATATAATATAATATAATATAATATAATATAATATAATATAATATAATATATGTACATTCGCTACTTTTTTCTGATAAAGCAAAGAGTGCTAAATGCCTAGAAATGTTTAATACTTTTTTTCGAGGAAATAAAAAATCCTCCTTGAACGACTACAGGTTATGTCTTGTGATTATTAAGTACATTTCGAAACTCTTTTATTCCTTCCATTCGTTTTTCTTGAGTTTCAGAGACGTAACAGGAAATTCCCAGAATATTATGGCACATGCTAAAAGAGCTCACGCAATGTTCCGAGTTTAGAATTTGAACCGTCGAAACACGAGAGAGAAATAGAGAACAGGTATAAATAAGGAATCGTATCTCATGTATCTCCTTCGTACAACTAAGAAGTGAAATATTCCCTAAAATACTGGAACTTAGTTCGTTGTTACCTTCACAAGGCGGGAACCCGCTAGGATCTGGTGACCAAGTCTTGCCATATGTACACGATGTCAGTTTGTGTGTTGTTTGGTCGTCAGGGAAACGCATATTTCCCACACACTGGTACTCTACTTCGCCACCATACCCGGTGTCATTGGCAACAATAATGGTGTTGTTGATAGGGGGAGTGTTGGGGCAGGTCTTTTCTGGAAATAAAAAAAAGATGAATCAGATGACATTTTCTAAAAAATATTTTTATATGTATTTATTTTTTACGGAAAGCTTTGTACTTTTGTCTTCGGTAGGAAGGACTACCTTTAATCTATCTTTGTTGATTTGTAAAGAATTCCTAATATACATTTTAAAATGTAGGTTGCAAACAATCATTACGATCTTCATACGGATTCTGCATTTCACGTTTCGTGACACGTGTTATCAGTGTTTTCTAGCTCCTTCTTTATAATTAACTGAGATGCACATTCAAATGTCAGAAGTAACATATTGCTTCTACTTGATTGCACCCTCCCTTTTTCACCTCGCAGTGATATTCACGCCTATATTACTTAGGGATACTTGGTAAGCTCCAATCAATGAGAGAACTATAGGCACTAGGTTGAACTCAATATGTATGCAGATTTCTTTTTGGCTACCAGAATAGACACACTGAGTTGATGCCCTGAGTTGCAGAGAATGCTGGGCACTACATGCCCGTGGTAGACGTGTGTTTCAAGCGTCCTCTGAAACACAAGGCGAGGATGGGAGTGGTTTACCTCATCACCGTCATGTCTTTGCCATTATTGGCTTTTAGTCGTTTTGATTCTTGAAAGGTAACGATCATATTATATATCAAATTGCACGAAAAACATATAATTACTTTGACAGTTATCTGTGATGGCATTGCTCCATGACATGTCTGACTGACAGGTCATTTGTTTCGTGGTACTGCCGTCAGGAAATTCGTAGCCAAAATAACAGTAGTAGGTGACAGTGCTGTATACAGTAAGATCGTTGTCCAATGTACGGCCTAACTGGATGCTTGGGAGTGTGTTCGGACAGGACAGGGCTGGAAATAGCACAGAATTAAGAATAACATTTCGTGTATAGTCATAAAGCATGAGTAAAAATAATGACACGGTCAATGTCAATAGGAAAACCACAAATTTAATAAGAAATATATATTTCTACCGAGCGCGAGTATTCTAAGCTGAACTGTTTCGGAAAAAATCACAAATCCAAGTCTTTGTTAAAGAAATGAAATTTTCGCAACATATATATGGCAATGGAAGCATTTGAAAAAAAAATGCTTAGGTGCCTACCGGCACCCAGTTACCTGCACACGATGCAGGCATGGCGGTCCAGGTAGAGTCACTTTGACAGGTGACTGTTTTACTACTAGTGCCATCAGGATACAAGAACCCAGGCTGGCACGTCAGTGTCACCACAGTCCCTTGGGTTGTCGTATTAGTATCTGTGAATGCGTTCGTCACCGGCGGTACAGCAGGACAAGGTTTTTCTGAAACATATATAAATATACCAATACAAAAATACATATTATAAAATCATATTTTTAAGATATATACGAGATTTGTCAAAACAAACCTGGATAGGCGCTTGTTGTGACAGCACAGCAATTTTTACAGTAACGCATATCAACCCGTTTAATACCAAGAAAAGTCAAGAAAAAAGCAAATAAAAGGAGCAATAATAACGCATTTTGAAGCAAATAGCATTTACTACCCTTGATTGTATTTTCAGTTTTCTTGGTCAGAAAAACAAATACTATGCTCGAAAATGCCCAGTAGGTCTCTTTTTTTTAATTAAAATACTACAATTTTGGTCTCTATCAATCATCATAAGAATATATTTTACTTTACATTAATACATTCTGGCAGCAAAATGGCCTATACTGATTCTTTTACTGACAGTTTGCCGATAATTCATAACTGAGAGTAAAAAGTCTAATTTTATATGGAAAGGTAATATTGCGTCCCATACCTGTACAGTTGCCTAGTGTATCGTTCCATTGTCCATCTGTTTGACATTCGACAACTTTGATTTCGGCAGCATCAGAGAACATGTAGCCGGAGTTGCAGGTATATTCGACCGTTGTAGGGTTGAGGTTTCTGGATGTTGACTGCTCCACGGTGTCGAGTGGAGCACAGGCTGAAAGACACCCGGATATCTAATTAATTCGTGGTATTATATTCTTCATTTCATTCGTTTGTTCTTTTAATCATTTTTAATTAGTGTTTGTTCATTGGCTTCAACGATCTTAAGGTCATCTTACTAATGGAACATGATTCAAAATATAAGCCTACTAATCATTGTCATAATTATTGATCAGTATTGCCGTAATGAAATGAGATTCCAAGAAGCAATAACTTACTAGCGCAGTCTATGAAAGTGTCATTCCACTCGCCAGAATTATCACAAAGATAAGTGCGGGCAGTATCAGTTGAGTTGAGATAGAAATATCCGGCCTGATTGCACGTACACGTAACTACCGCACCGACGCTGGTGGCGTTAACGTCAAATGTGGAGTGCTGGTTATTTGGCAACGGTGGGCAACCTCAAGGAAACGAGCAGATTCCTCAATGAAAATCAAATTGTTGCTACTGCCGTTTAATCTACGGTAAAGTCGCCAGTCAAGCAAAGATTAAATCATATAGTAATATAAGAACTACTCTATTTGAGTTTTGAATGGTATGGGAAATGTAGAAAAATCTCATTTCCTTTCATTTTAGTCAATTTTTTCAGGGTATGGGTCAGGAAGACAGTATCGTATTATATTTCCTTGAAATACAGTTTATTCCATTAGGTCCGTAATATTTTGGGTAGTATATACACGTAAGCTAACCTTACTCATTACTTATAACAGTACACCTGCACTATATATTCTTCAGCAAATTTATAACGCGTTTTGCTTATCCCACTTTATGTAATGCTTGTGTGAGATGTACACATCTAGAAGTATAAAAACGCACTTACTAGCCCCGACTTGGCATATAAAAGGCAGCATATTACTGCAACCTGTATTTTCCCAGAATCCTCCTGTGACCAGTTTGGTACAATCACCATTGGCGTCCGGCTTGTTGTGCCATGCGTTCCAGAAGGTAAAAGTCGCTGCTGACCCTCTGACCCACGTCCAGGTGCCACTTTGTCGTTTGAGTCCAATCCAGAAGTTGGCTGTGCCATACCCAGATCTGAGACATTAAAGAGTGTAATCTACAGAATACGTTAAGACTTACTTCAAAGAACAAATGACAGTGAGACACCAAGGAGGTGCTTATACCTTTAGAATAGAACCACGATTCAAATATGAAAGTGTGCATCCTATGATCAAACACGGTATGTGTTGGGTAACCATTAAGATGTTCGTGATACTATCTAAATTATAGTATCTGAACGATGTGGACACCGGGAATGCATAAATATCAATCTCTAAAAAGGTAAAAAGAAATGCAAAAAGCCCATTTTTTTTAATAAAACAAAAATTTCCATTTGGAATTCGCAATTGATGAGCATTAAGAAAATACCGTCACATTGGTATTAGTAATTCGTGATTTAGGCTTAAAAATACTGCAGGCGCTGTAGGCATTTTTGAATTTAATATACTGACGCCATTGATCCAATGAACATGTTTTTCTGTGAATCGTCTAATTCAGCCAGCGTTCCTCCGCTAACAGTGGTCTGGCAGAAGTTCTCTGCATTTGTAAAGGTTTTGACTCCCTGGAATATTCTGTAGCAGTGCACACCATTCGGCTCCCATTGCTTGGGGCACCCATTGCCTGTGATACATAAACAACACATTTATTAAATGATACAGACAGCGTGTGTTCGGTGTTCAGGGTGAAAGAGCCCAAGACCTATTGGCAAAGAATTAAAGTGACAAAGTGTACGATTTTAACTCGTGTTAAGTAGTTTAGTTTTCCGTACCGATGTGGCAACAAACAACAAAGTACATTTAACACTTCTTGGTGTACGTATCTGAAGACGAATAACGCTTTTTGGTCATATTTTTGGAAATAAATGCCAGAGTTTCGATAGATTGTAAGCGGTATTATTCTGCATATCACAGGCTCATTGCATTCTTCTTTAGTAACCGCCACTTGAATGTGAAATTGATTTTATATGGCGTAGTTCGATCCACAAAGGTGTAATGGCGGATCGAAAACGAAAAGTTGAAAATGAGAAAAATGCATCTACTTGTGCCTCCTCGTACATAATATCACTACTCACGTTTGGTTCTATAAAAAACTTACCGATTCACCTAGCTGTGTTTATCTTTTACTATATTATTTTCTTATATTTTGACAAAACTTACCGTGAACACTGTCCTGTATCTTCAACATCCACCCAAGTATGCAAAATACCTGGAACAAAACGGATACGTGATAAGACCACTTATTATCGTTAATTTTGATTCGTCATAAAGTCTTGGTTTGCGCAAGGCATTTAAACTTCACACCTTACCGTGATTTTAGCCATCTTCCACATGATATCTCTAAATGTCCTTTTACGTGCAAAAGCGGACTGTGAAATTGTCAATATAGAACGAGTATCGACCTTGATAATTCAGACACCTCACTTTGCTAATGATTTATGTATTAGAATGTAATCGCATATGTTATGATCGATATTGGGAATAATAGAAATAATCAGCTGCCTAGAACTGTTGACAACTTGTCAAGGCAATATTCAGAAGGACTTTAACATAATGTTTTTTTTTTAAAGAAAACCCATAGTTTAAAGGGTTTGATTCATTCCGTGTCGTTTCTTAGACAGTGTATACCAAAAATATTTTCTTTTTTATCATCACAAAAGTCTAACGTGATTGTCTTTGTAAAATTATTACATTAAATTTAGTGTTAATAACACATAATTGATTTCGCAACAGCTCCTCAGTAACAACTATCACATTACATCTAGCAATGTGAATGGATTATTAAACAGTCACAGAAGCGGAGATACGGGGTGGTATATTTCGAGGCATTAGACTTAAAGTATTAAATTAGGATATTTTTAGGAGAACATAGAGATAAATCGTTTGTAAATGATACAAACAATTGTCCCCATGTTCTGCTTAAAATGGGTATATGAGACAGTTATCATAAAGGTCTTGACTTGCTAAGTTAAGCTTTTTTATTCAAATAAAAGATGTAATGTTTATAACCGCAAAACTGAAAAGAAAAATTGTATTTGCTGGAAACCTATTCTGAAGTAAAGTAACATAACTTACTGTTGTTTTCAAAGCTTGTGAATAAAAAGCGAAGTGAAGTAAAGCAATTTTTTTCATGGAACTCTATCCTCCCCCCCCCCCGATACCCCCCCCCCCCCCCCCCCATCACATTTTTATTTTTCTCAGTGATTAGTCTCCTACTTACGTGTTTATAAGACGCAAAATTTGCTTAATGGCGTAATGCACGCAGACTATACAGCACATTTTAAAGGTTAACAAAGCAAATTACAAAGACACTACTTTGCCACACACGTTATTAATCAGATTAATCAGATATTTGTCGCCTTAATTTAAACCCTGGGATTCGTAAATGCCATTGTAATTACCATCATTAAGTATTTAACGAGTAGATTTACCCGTGTATTGCCATCGTTATTAAATTTGAGTTAGGCCACACTTTTTTAATTTTATGGATGACATCCTGCGCGCGCATGGATTTTCGCCCGTTCTCAAAAAAAAAAAAAAAAAAAAAAACAAAANTCATCCTGATGCATGTGGGCTGAATTGTTACTGAGAGTTACAAAGAGAAAAAAAATACAAAAGCAAAAACAGACATTTCGTTAAAGGGTTGCAATCTGTGTTAATGCCATTTTTTCGTTATTCCAATAATTTGTCAGCGATAAGGGTGAACCTTACTGTGAAACTCTGTGTCAGGAATATTGTCTTAGATACCAGGTGGCAATACGAAAATCAAACGCTAAATATGGCGAATTTCTACTGTTATGTAACAGAACTTTAAAGAATGCAACTCTAAAAATTTCCGTGGATAAAATCTGTTAGCTTTAATTTGTTGCCTTACTGCTCTCTACATTATTTCTGGCTCAACATCACCCCCCCCCCCCCCTAAAAAAAAAAAAATAAATAAATAATTATAAAACATCCCGCTTGATTTAACGCTGTTGCAAGCCTATGGTTATTTCGGATGGTCCCCGTTAGTTAATGTAGATTAAATAGCTGTTTTGTCTTCCATGTGTGTTTAAGAACTTTGTTTTATGAATAATATAACAGGCAAGAAACAGGCATCTGTATCCAGGCTTTTTATTATAATGCTGTCAAACGCGCCAATAAAACATGTAAATTGAAAGGAAGTTCGCTCTTGCTAAAAATGATGGAATATTCCAAAAAGGTATTGCATCTACGATTTCAATATGTTCAAACTAAGACAAAATGTAACTTAAACCAGCTCATTAGTGTTTTATTATAATTCCATGATCTATCTTCAAGTTACAGTATATTTGTGGATATTTTTCGTCTTGATACTTCCTAGTGATAAATTATAAATTTGTTGAATTATCAGTAATTTATAGAGAAAAGCAAATGTTATGTTCAAGAAAGCAAGGATTAAAGGAAAAAAGAAGTATCACCCAAAGGTAATCTATTCTACGAGTACTGACTTAACCAGTTTCTGGAGCTTGTTGGCTCAGATTAACCCACCCCTCGACAAGAAGGTCTGTTTCATCCCATCTCGTCTAGTCGGCTAGACCTCCCTCCTCCTTACAGTATGGTCTAGACCATCCTAACAGTGCTCCATTGGATTCAAAGCAGGAAAAAAAACAGACCAGTCAACTTGCTCAATTTCTTGGTCACTGAAGAATTGTTTTCTTCTACGATCAAATTGAGATGGCCCATTGCCATATTGTAATAAAAAAAGGTACGGCCAAAATGTTTCCAAAACTTTCTCTGAGAAACCCCACGCTGGTTCATAGTTCATAAGGAATGACAGCCCAAAGGTGGACAGAACCACTGTGGGCAACAGTTCCCATCTCACGGTCTCCAGCTAATCTCTTCCAAACCTGAAATGAACCATGGGCTCTGCTGACAACGCCGCGAATAGGAAATCTTGCTTCATCAGAAAACCAGACATATGCCTCCAGTGAAGCATTTCATGGCAATGGAGTTGTCGGGTACATTCCTAGCGGCGGTTCTTTCTGTTCATGGTAAACAAAAAACAAAAAAATCCTATGAGTTCACCATGGCCCAGGCCACGAATCAAAAGTCTGCTTTTGACTGTTCCTCTGGAAACTCGGCTTATTGTGCTTTTTTTCACACTATTCCGCAGACAATGTTCTGACAATGATCTCTTTTGACGATACATTTTGCAGAAGATACGACATTCCCTGGCTGTAGTTTTACAAGGACGACTTGTAGTGGTGCCTGACTGCACATCATGTTTTGTTGGATTTTACAGACGGTTCCTTGAGCAATTCCAATGTAAACAACACATCCCCGCAATTTGCCAAGCTCTTCTCTGGCATATGCGACGAGGCATTGTCACTCACAATCACTCGCCTGCTGTGCAAAATTTGACTTGCAACGCCTGCGTTAGAGACCTAAACATACATGTGACTTTACATTCTGCTTAGACTTGACACACAGGGCATACATAGGGCACACAGGGCATGATTATTTTTAATCAGTGATCTAACACTTTTAAAGTTCTTACGTTATTTATGATAATAGAGCAAACCCTTTACTGACAACACCCGCACTTTAAAATATGAAGCAACTTGTTTTAAACACTATTTTCACTTCATTACTGTTCTCAGTAGGTATTCTGGATTTCTATAAACATTTTTATTTACATAATAAAGTGCGTGTTCTTTTCTAGAAATCCAGTGTGTTCTCCAACAGATTTTGTAAATAACTCTGCCTTCGAAGTCTCTTTCCCTAGTCTGTAATGTAAGTTTGTTCTATTTTGGTAGTGGCCGTTATGATTGTTTGAGTCGACCAAAGCTTCTTTTTCCTTTGTGGTACTTGGTTCAGGCGATGTTAAAAATGCTGTCTGTATAACGATCAGATCAGACAGGAGCTGGCGTGTGTCATAGGGGCGGATCGCATTTTTATGGCAATCTGTACTAGTTCCGCATCCCATGTCTGCGTTTACCTCCACGGTAGCCAACCCACCCAGTCACTACTTTGTATATTCCTGGCCAATTGCGGTAGACTGTGCTTCAGTATACTTGTTCGTGTATAGGCTTATCTGAAACCAAAGTTTTCGATAAATTTTATTCAATATTTCACATAAATGGGAAAGGTCATGCACCACCCCAAGTATTATCGGATACTGTAAAACCGCGTCTCTACATTCAGCAAGTCTCTGGTAGTAGACAGACGAGTTTCCAGGTAGCCTAATAAGGATGAAGACCTTGTGAATTCAGTTGATGTTCATTTTTAGTTGTCACCATATGTCACCATAAGCATCTGAAGATAAAACTTGGTAGTGGTAATAGTGTTAGGAGGCTATGCACAACCTACCAGTGCATGTACATGTCAGTGTGTACCCGGTAGGTGCACTCACAATATGACTGTTTAATTCCCAACCCCGATCCCCTGTTAGAATATCATAATTTTAATTAAAATAGAGAGAAATATTAATAAATTTGATTTGATAAAACCGTTTCCAGTTGATCTTTAGAATTATGTTTCGCGTCAAATCTAATTTTCTCCTTTTCAAGAATCATTGCTCGACCCGTCCCTGCACTAAGATTCGATATATCTAATTCAAAAATAAATAAATTCAAAATATTTGGCCAGACATCAAGCCGCCAGAGTCTTTCTGGAATTTCATAATGAATTAAAGACATGAGATTCTTTCATTTGAGGGTTTTGAATTGAGAAAGGTAGGCTCTTTACTTTGTATCTAGATATAAAAATATGACTTAAAATATTTTCTAATGCGTATACATGTAATTTACGTTTAAAAACAAATCACTATAACTGTCATAAGTTAAACGATCTTTCTTCTTGATGAAAAAGAAAAAAAATTTAAGAAGCCAGAAAAGCACCCAATGATGTTTACAAAGAAACAATAATTAGCTACATGCTAGTCGACAATACTTACTGTCAAAATAGCGTAATATTCCACTTCCGATCGTCCTTTTTTGTAATAAATATATCTTGAGGCTGTCTCACTAGCGTTTGAACTGGCTACAGTAGCATAGTCAAATACCAGAAACGAGTTGCGCATCAGTTTGATATTGATCTTACTCGTGCAAGGTGTGCAACGTGTTCTTCATTCCTGACATTTAACCTTGTGCGTCATATAATCATATTACAAAAGACAAATTCAAAACAACAACAATAATTGATATCTGTTTGGTTTGACTGCAGAGTGGAAACAAAATGTCTTCTTTATGAATTGATTACTGCCGATTTATCATTTTCATTTTTATAAATACGCATTAATAGAAGATGACGCTGTCCTTATCACTGAAAGTGATAATCATCACTCTAAGAACTGGTCTGTCGGATTTCTTTTCTTCATTTCTGCAAAACTGCTGGTAATCAATAACCTTTTCTGTGGAGGGGGATAGTTAGTGGCGGATTTCGGTGGGAGGGAGGAGACCCCCTGCCCACCCCCCATCGGTTACTGAAAAAAAAAACACACCAATATCCCTCTTAAAATTAGAACTTTGACGTAGTTCTAAACCGTACTTAGGCAACGTTTGCTTTCCAAAACACCCGGGCCCAGTTTTATAAAGGACGTTTAGCATTAACCAGTGTTTAACTCTAACCAGACCTTAACAGTCTGTTAGTTAACTGACCTTTAGATAATTATTTAATCCAGTTAAACACTGGCCAGTGAACTAATTGGCTGTTTTCCGTCAGAAGACTGTATATGAAACACAATTTAACCATCTTTTAGTTAATGAGTGTAAGGATAATTTATCCACTGGTTAGGCTTGTCCACTGGTTAGTGCTAAACATCCTTTATAAAACTGGGCCCCGTAGTTTTCGAGGCCCCTAAGCGAGCCCCGAACCCCATGCCAATGGGTCATTAGTAAAAAAAAAAAAAAAAAAAAAAAAACTCTGGACCCGCCCCTGGATAGTGATGCGTGGTTTTATTGAAACTTGACACTTCACTGCGTACATGGACGCTCCCGAACATTATCATCATTATCATCATTGCTTTTGACTCTACGGCTCTGTTCTCACAACTTTTAGATCGATCTATCACCGCGGGGAGTCTCACTAGATTACTGTCAGATAATCCGCCTTAAGTGTCCGTCCCCGCCTACTACAAGCTATAAGGGGTAATTAACTTTCGGGTCCGCCCGGCTGACAGCTATTTAGCGTGAACCCCCAGGGAGTTAGGTCGATCCAATGTAGGTCGATCTAATCTATGAGAATGGGGTGTACTACCCGTGTATTGCCATCGTTATTAAATTTGAGTTACAAAGCCAACACGTTACTGTTTCTTGCTTATAACATGTATTTCTATAACATTTACATTTCGAAAATGTTGTCCATGATGAAGTTCACAATGCAAGCACCTGCGGGTCGACCCATCTGGCTCAGCTCGGATCACTGCAAGGGCTGAAAATGCACCATACCTGTTTTCTGAAGTCGGTCACGTGTCGTATCTCCTCTCACACACACACAAATGCACGTGAGCAGTGCTGGGACAGGCTCAATAAATTAATCAATTGAGCATGTTGCAAAACGTTAAGGTGTGCTTTTAGATCAATCAATCATTCTTGCAATTTTCATTAAGAGTACCACCAAGCGTATTACCTAGCTGTGAAATATTGCTTTATCTCAATAACCCGACTGAATTCAACACATCGCTGAAACATTGTTTGACGCCGAGTCCTACTAGTACTGCTTTTTTTTATGTCAATGCATGTTTGAGTATTCTTCTGGCGTATTAAAATTCAATTTATTTCTGTTCTGGTAGATAGATTAAAGGTACACGCCATCAGAGTTACCCACCAAAATGGATTTTCCGGGAAAATAAGCAATTTTTTCTCCTAATCATTTAGCCATCCCTCTGCCTGGCCAGTCATTATAACAGCGACCATTTTCCTATAAGCTCCAATGGAAATATCAACATCAGTTATGCTTCACAAAAAATATTTAATGGATTAAATAATTTTTAAGGTGTATGTAAGATTTTATAAAAAGCTGTCGAAGTATAGAATGGTATTCACCTTCATTCACACACACAGGCAGCAGACTCTGTCACACCTTGTTTTGGGCCTGTTGTGCCGCCCATTTTCAATCAGCATAATAATTTTCTTTTCTTAATTTCCAATCATTCCTAAAATACTGAATCCCAGAAACAAAATTTTTTAACTATGCTTATCAAAAATATTTTATTTTGTTTTTATACATACAAATATTACACAGACAACAAGTATATATTTCAATTTTATATTATATATCCATATATTACATATATAAATATGGTTTNTTACAAAGCCAACACGTTACTGTTTCTTGCTTATAACATGTATTTCTATAACATTTACATTTCGAAAATGTTGTCCATGATGAAGTTCACAATGCAAGCACCTGCGGGTCGACCCATCTGGCTCAGCTCGGATCACTGCAAGGGCTGAAAATGCACCATACCTGTTTTCTGAAGTCGGTCACGTGTCGTATCTCCTCTCACACACACACAAATGCACGTGAGCAGTGCTGGGACAGGCTCAATAAATTAATCAATTGAGCATGTTGCAAAACGTTAAGGTGTGCTTTTAGATCAATCAATCATTCTTGCAATTTTCATTAAGAGTACCACCAAGTGTATTACCTAGCTGTGAAATATTGCTTTATCTCAATAACCCGACTGAATTCAACACATCGCTGAAACATTGTTTGACGCCGAGTCCTACTAGTACTGCTTTTTTTATGTCAATGCATGTTTGAGTATTCTTCTGGCGTATTAAAATTCAATTTATTTCTGTTCTGGTAGATAGATTAAAGGTACACGCCATCAGAGTTACCCACCAAAATGGATTTTCCGGGAAAATAAGCAATTTTTTCTCCTAATCATTTAGCCATCCCTCTGCCTGGCCAGTCATTATAACAGCGACCATTTTCCTATAAGCTCCAATGGAAATATCAACATCAGTTATGCTTCACAAAAAATATTTAATGGATTAAATAATTTTTAAGGTGTATGTAAGATTTTATAAAAAGCTGTCGAAGTATAAAATGGTATTCACCTTCATTCACACACACAGGCAGCAGACTCTGTCACACCTTGTTCTGGGCCTGTTGTGCCGCCCATTTTCAATCAGCATAATAATTTTCTTTTCTTAATTTCCAATCATTCCTAAAATACTGAATCCCAGAAACAAAATTTTTTAACTATGCTTATCAAAAATATTTTATTTTGTTTTTATACATACAAATATTACACAGACAACAAGTATATATTTCAATTTTATATTATATATCAATATATTACATATATAAATATGGTTTGTTTCATTCACAGTAAATTCAAAGGAAAGATAAATCAAATCCACTGAACAGCTGAGTTGAATTTGAAGAGAGTCCCCCATCTGTCCACTCCTGACACTTTGTATTTTTTAAAATCATCAATTTACAATCAAATGAAATAATGTTACATAATGAGCATTAAACTTATTTGAGGGGATCTTTCAACAAACCTTATGGCCTTCTGTACTTTTCTTGATGTAGTGAAAAATTAAGGGGGGGGGGAGTAAAATGCCATCACAAATGATGGCCGTAGGATGAATGAATGAATGAATGAAAAGATTAGCATCATTACTGCTGGAATGAATATCCTGCCGTGACAAGCAAGTCATTTATCAGTTGTTCACCTATTTCCACCAAAGTCTCAGGAAGTCAAGATAGGCAAATAATTATCTTTTGTCTGATAAACGTGATCATGGGTTATCGTGCATCCAGACTAGTTGTATGGAAACAGCTTGACAGGCATTGGCCACGTGAGTTCTAGAAAAAAATAATCACTCAGCTATTAACTAATGGCTTTAGGATGAGTTAAATCAATACAACTTAATAAAATGCCCAAAAAAGTCTATGTGCTGATATGTAAAAAGGAGATTAACCTGTTCTTGTTTCATTTTTATCCATATGTTACAACCAAAGACTTAGAAATCATTCATTTCACAAATATTACATATATGGAACATACTATTATTATTATTATTGTTACAAAGTTTTACAGAAATTCTTGAAGTTTTTAATATATCAATCAAGCCACATAAGTTTGACAAATATTACATTTGTGAAGTATACTGGTACATGTAGTAAGCTATTTTAAAAGATTTGACATTTTTCCTCTTACCACTATCCAAGACAACTTTGATGGGTTTTTGGTAAGTATTAAGATACTCCACAGGTTTGCTTATGCATGTGGTATCATTTTCTACCAGATAATTTATAACATCTGTAAAAAGACATTATATATAATTTGAAAAAAAAGGCATTAATATGGATAAAAAATGTCATTCGTATCAATCATGATATTGTATTTCCAAATAAACTGATGTATTCTATTGAATGTATATCCACTACTTGTCCATTTCTGAAAATGTGAATTTGAAATTGTAATAGGGTTTTATAAAATATCCTATAAAACACCAAATAAGGTAAATCATGTAAAATTAATAAAAATAACCAACCTTGTTGTGGTAAATGCTCTGGTACTTTCTCGTGAAGTGTATCTAGTGCATTTTTAAAGTTTAACTGAAAAGACAAATAGTGTATATTAATTTGCAATTTATTATGATTTAGAAGAAAAACTCAATTAAATTTAGTAGAAAGAAAATACAAAGAAAGTGAACATTCTTTAAAAATTATTAAAAAAAGAAACACCCAAATAAATTTTGAAAAACGCAAGTGTACTGCTCTTACAAAGACATCAAGTGCATGCAAGTCTACTAGGGTATCTACAGTCCCTATAAGACTTTGAGACTAAAGGTGACTTTAACTCACCTTTGGCTGTTTTGCTAAATAGGTACCAAGATGGAGGAACTGGGACAACATATCTGTTACTAGTTTATCAGCTGCCTCACTAGGTTCATACAAGTCTAAATTTGCAGACTTAATGTCCAGTATTTTGTGTGTCCACTGGTTGTAGAGTCTCTCTGGAACGTTTGACTGTTAAGGAAAATATTAATGTCAAGATTTTAAAACTATTTTTGAGAGTATTGTAGGCACTTGTGTCAACACAGTCTTTTTGAAAAGTCCATTAAAATGAGTGTGTTTGTTGACTTAACTGGTGACTTTAACCCACTGAAGCAATAACTTCATCAAACAAGGTTGTAAATATCACCAAAATGTCTGAAATATATTGATTTTTTAGGTTTTTTTTAATTAAAGGATATATCATGGGAAATAACAAGTATTTTGGCAGCCTCAAGAGGTCCCTCTTGCTTCTCAATGCTTTTCTGCATATCTCTAACAACCTCTGTGATCTTTTCATTAGAAGTCTGAAAGGATATAAAAATGTTTCTTTGTAGGTATTCTGTTACACACGAATGCCAAAAGACATTTGTATGAATGGACTTTATATTCAAGATAACCAAATGATAGCATACTGAAGGATTATCACTGTTTTTAAGACAGTACCTTCTATCACGATACTCCATACCATTTGCTCTTAGTGATTACAATTATGACAATAAGAAGAGGAGTAAGAACAGCATTTTATTAATATTAAAATACTAATAAATCAACAGATGTAATCAATAAGTTAATAGGTAACAAGATAGATTGGTAGGTAGATAAATAAATGAATTTGTGTAAATATAATCAAGCAAAAAAAAAAAAAATAAATAAATAAAAGGCATGAGATGGGTCAAGCATTTTAACCTCATATAAATTCAGATGGTGCCAAAAAATAGACCTTCCAAGGTAAACAGGGTCAGATTAAATAAGATGTAAATTAGACAGCATGCACCAGCCAAACTATAATCTTTTCTTGAATAACATCATCTTTCAAAATTAAGCAAGTATGTTTGTCTTAGACAGAACTGCATGACGTCCACAAACCAATGAAATATACAGTCAAAAACTTATATAATCAGACATACATGTACGTACCTCCACAACATGAGCACAGTGCTTTGGATAAAGCAGTAATAAACCAGTAATCCCTTCCCCTTGCAGAGAATTGTGTAGATTTTTGAAAAAATTGTCATAGTAATCTGCAATGGAAAAGACCAACATATTTTGATAATATAGCTAAATAATAGGTTTACATTAATTACATGAATTTAATATCTTTTTAGAATAGACTTCATTTAATAGCCTTATAATGATTTATCCACCTACTAGCCATTGGGTTATATGTTTATAAGCAAATATGATGACCTTTTAAAATACTTACGCCCAATTTCTTCTTGGCTGCTACAGAAATCCTCTCTTAGTTTGCCAACATACACAAGCCTATGTAACAGATTTTTCTGAGAAAATAAAAATAAAAGACATTTAGGTATAAGTCAAGCTAATAATAATAATAATAAGCAGTAAGCAACTATTTGACAATCTGTGGGACGTAGGCAGGGTAGAAAATGATAAAATATCATCCTTAAATGTGCTGTAATACTATAGACACTGAAATTGAAACAAACTTTTCATTTAAAAATAAGATCACTAAATGCTTCCTTCTTTCAACAATCTCACCCTTTCTGTATCATTCTTATACCGGCGGTCCATTTTTGCTTCATAAAGAGTTGGTAGTGGAAATTCAAGAGGCTGTACACTCTTTCCCTCCTCTGATTTTAAATCAAAATCCCCCTCCCCTTCCTTGTCTGGAGAATGACCACGTCGCTTTCCCGCAGATGTACGATGGGCCATGATTTCAGCCAAAGCACTCAAAGTTTCATCAAAAATTCACTTTTGTTCTAGTTTCCAACTGCCTAAATTAACTATAGCATATATATTTTCTACGCTTAGCTTTTCTAAAAATAGAGACTTCCAATATGGCATTTCCCCTAGTTACGATCAGTAACTCATAAAAACCTTTTGAATGCACCTGCTGTAAGCACTGCATTCAATATTATTACATCTATCCAAAAACAGCAATTGTTCCCTCCTGACAACCAGGCATCTCGTCCAAATAGATCTTTTTCACTGGTGGCAAGAAAATGTGTTTATTTTATCGGCTAATGGACTGGCATATATAAATGAGCAAGAGTAGACAATGGGCCACCAAACAATGAATATTGGCCATGCAGTCAAATTACAAACTGACATAGATCAACACACTCTTTACTTCACTGTCCAAGAACAACAAACTTGGCAAACATTTAAGTAAACATGAATCTGTAAGGCACACCACCAAGGTACATTGTAGATAATTGCTTTCTTACTCAGTTTAGGTAGAGAAATCTAAAGAAAGACATGCTCAGTTATGGAAGTTATAAATTATAACTTCTAGAATTCTAGTATGAACTGGACATTTTGGTAGCTTTAACAGTTTAACTGACAGGAAAAATATCCATTAAGAAAAAAAAATGAAAAACATGATGAAAAAGGGACAAATTTCCATTTGTGGGAAAGGTAAGTATAATTTTCTTTTCTTTTCTTTTTTCTTTTACTCAAAAGCTATCATAAGCACCATAAGTATTTTAAATTCAAAATGACTACATAACAGTTCCATTAAAATAACAAAGACTATGTATCGCAACAGTTTCTGAACTGGGGCAGACAGAATCCATCTTCTAGGGCTTCCAGAAGACAGTCAGAATCTTTAAATTTTTCTGTCAGGAGACAGTTAAAAGTGGAGGATGGGTCAATAAAGTTATTTTGGAAGACTGTCAGAAAATATCTCTGGATCCGCCCCTGCTGAAGATTTTTAAAAAAAGGTTTTTTTATATGATTAGGAAAGATTTGCTTTTCAGTGTTATGCATCTTTTGGTGGCCAAGTAGTGAAATTATGTGGAAAACTTACAAATATTTTTGGGACAGCAGAATTTAAGTACAACCTGTAAATTGTCATACTTTAAAAAAACGGGAAGATCTCTTTATTGGTTTCATTTAAATTGACAATAGACAAATTGTTAATGTAAACAAAATAGTTATATCATAGAAGTTGGGGGAAAAACATACTTTGTCAGTTTTTGGGCCTAATATGTAGGTTCTATGCCAAACAATAATAATGTGCCACTGCAAATAGGGCCTGTCAGCAAGAGAAAATCCTTCAGCTTGTTGGAATATGAAGAACTTATAAATTAAACAGTTATACGTCGCCTTGAACAAGTAAAACCAAGATACAGATTGCACATAATCTTGGAAATAAAAGATGTCCTGGTAATGCTATCTACACAACACAAGAGCGGTATTTGCACTCTTCTTTTGTAGTTATACTGGTACCAATGTATGGAAGTTCACATATAATGGCCTAGGTAATGGACTGAGCATTTAGTTATATTCTGAAATGAGTCTTTTGAACATATATTGTCAGAAGGGATATTTCAACAAATGTTCTATTGACTTCTTTGTTGCACCTTTCTAGATTTTAGGCCTAAGATATGACACATGAAATTGGTCTATAAGCTCCATCTCAACTAGAAGTGTTGCAGATTAGAGCACTCAGAGAATACCTTATAGTTGTTTAATAACATTCAGCACTAAGACTAGCTTTCAGGTATTTAAGCAGCTTACAATTTTAAGCAAGAATTTATTTCTCATCTGATATAGAGTGAAACATTTTCAAACTGATTGGCCTTTTTCACTGACACAGTTTTAAATGCATAATTTTAGATTAGATTTCTTTTGATTAGTTTATTTGTTCAAACATAAGACCCATGCCTCACTAATATCTTATTTAGTCCCCGGCTAAAAATATTAAATAACTGATGATTTGTTTCAAAATAAAATACCAGTATCAATATTATTTTAACAGAAAAAAACAAATCATTAACTTAAAAACAGAATTCAGAACATTTAAAAATGTTTTTTTAAAATAAGATTTCTTATTTCATTTTTTTATTACATATATATATATATATTTTATATTTGTTATAGTATTTTTTTAACAAACAATATAATGATACAAACTGTAAGAGATGACAACTCTTCATTTTCATGGGGAAAGTGCCATAAAATGGATTTTCCTTGGGAAAACAACAAATTTCCCACACTTACCAATGGTAAATGAATCCATTCCAACATTCAAAGTTAGAGTTTTGGGGCCCGTAGCAATAGTCCGAAGGTTCATTGGTCAGAATGTTCACTATAGAACCTTCGGACCAATGAACCTTTGATTAAAAAAATGATGAAAATGTTACCATTTTTGGACCAGTGAACCTTCAGACCAATGAACCTTCAGACTATCATGATGCCCCCAATTTTTTTTCCATTTATTTGATCATTTGTTTTTCTTATTTTAAGTTAGTTTCTTATTTCATTTTTTTATTACATATATATATATATATATATATATATTTTAAAATAATCTCTTAAGAGATTAACACAGATGGTAGCCATCTATAAAGGTCCACATGGTCTGATGGCAAGCACAGATTTCAGTATGATTGCAATAACTGCCATTTTGGTGGTAAAATGGAATTAATTATAAAGGTTGTGTATTGTGAAATTTTGAATCTCATTAGAAGAGCTGTTATCCCTTTAACTTCACATAATATTTGGGAAACTCTATAAATGCAAACTGGCACTTATTTTAAGACATAAGTATCCCTAGTATAGTTTCTTCAAACTAAAAGATAGATTGCACATATTCTAACACTTTAAAGCATTTCAAATATCATGTAAATACACAAATTATGAGAAAAGATAACAAAAATAAAATCAATCTTTTGAAAACTAGCTTTTGAAATAGCAAGTGGTTAAGTATGTTAATTACAGAGAGAAAATGAATCTTAATTTTGAATACCAAATAAGTGGCAGAATTTCAGGGGCTTCACTGTGAAAAGGCAGTAGATACACGTTTACCCTTGGTAGGAAAAGCTAATCATTCATGGTCGGTGTCTTTTATCTAGTCACAAGTCATCCACAAATATTGTGGACACATGATGTGTGCTGTGGAATATTTTTTGAAAATTATCATTGTTAAGCACGCTCATTTTCGCACCTTTTCGAGTTCCTCCATTCGCTCCTTTATGACATCATACAAGGATTTTAAGTCATTTTCAAATGGAGAATCTCTGTCGTCGATGAAAGTGGTCGCCATTTTGAAGCGGTCTCCTTGCCGACAGCAAGTCTCTCGAATGTGTGATTTGTGAAGACTATATATAATAATAATTTCTTATCAAATAAAATGTTTTTATTAAAATTAATCATGAAATTTTAGAATAAATAAAGATATGACCATTATATGGTTAAAAACATAAGTGAAGGTCGTCACTCTCACTTCCGTTGTGTTATCGAAATGCTGTACGTCTCCGCTGCTTGAAGATGTAAGATTCAAAATTTTAAAATATTACAAATTCAATTGGCCACGTGTTTATACGATCCTTTGTTCAATCGTCTGACGATTCATTGCTCCAGTGTTTTCAGTTTTTACGCATAGTATAAAAACACGAGACTGTTATTTTGAGTTGTAAGGAAGTCAAAAATTACTTGTTTCTTTCCAAAAACTGCCAGCTTTGTTTGTATTCTTGGTGATGTTATTTTCATATTTCAACTTTTTGTTTAATGTTTTCAAAAATCAGAAATGCTGCTGCCCTGCATTATGTGCTTTTTATATTTACTTATTTCCCTTTTATTTAGTAGACTCTTTCAAGGGGATAAACAAGATCAACTCTTCCACATACCGACAGCCATCAAATTAGATCACTGGTGAGGACTTTGCAGAAGTTTATTAGACTTTTAGCACCTTGGCTTAAATTAAGAAGTAATGATGTAATAGTGAAAAGAGTTTAATAATTTTGTTTTGTTTCTTATAGTTAAAGAACTCAATCAGGTGAGATGGGATGAGATTTTTCTAACTTCTGACAGATTTACGACGTATGGGATCCAAATATATTGATTTAGGTAGCCAAAGACCCCACACCATATTTTCTGACTTTTTCACTAAATGCCAGTCTCATCCCTGATAAATGCATCAGTTTTTTTTCATTAGAAAGATTTGTAAAATTATATTGATTTACATGGGGTGAGATATCATGCCATAAATCTTTTTGGTTACATTGATTTTTTCTGTATAATGCATATAGTTTGGAGAGATGTCAGTTTCCAACTTATAAATGCAGTGTCCTTGTTTTTCAGATATGTCAAATTTTGAAGGCAGACTAATCCATTCAATTGACTTTGTACCTGAAAACAAAGATGTAGCCAGTAAATCCAAGCCAAAAGAAGCATCAACCATAAATAGTGTTCATCCATCTATAAATGGAAGAGAGGCAAGAAGTTTTTATGAAGAAGTAGTGGAAAATGTGACTGACAAAAAAGTGGGGACTTCAAGCTTAAATAGACCAAAAGAAAAACCAAAAAATAAACATCACAGCAACCATAAACCTTCAATTAAACCTTCATTATCTCATTTAAATAATTCTTTACTTAAATATGCACAGATGGGCGAGTTGCAGTCAGTTCAAAAGTGCTTACAAGATGGTGCAGAATTGGATCATCAGGATGGCTATGGCTGGACAGCCCTCATGTGTGCAGCCCATGCTGGACAAATACAAGTAGTGCAATATCTGATGACTGATGCTGGTGCTAATGTATATATATGTGATAAACAGGGACAAATGGCAATAGATTTAGCAATTAGAGGAAAACAGACAGAAATCTGTAAGATTTTGAGAGACGGGAACAATCAATCTGATGATAATGATGATGATTCACAGACGCTACAAGAAACATTTTATTGCAACATTTGTAAATTAGATTTTCAGGAAACAACTAGAGCAAATCACGAGACTTCAACTCTGCACTTGTTTAATAGTAAAAGGAAACCTCCAGGCACATTGTACTTTATCCCTGAATCAAACAAAGGGTACCAGATGATGGTAAAACATGGCTGGGACAAAGAAATGGGACTTGGCACACAAGGACAAGGGCAAAAATTTCCAGTCAAAACTGTTCTGAAAAGAGATCGCCTGTGTTTAGGAGCCAAGACTGAAGCCAAATCAAAAGTTACACACTTTAATGCTTGTGACACATCAGCAGTCAAACATCCAAAGAAAGAAGATAAGAGGAAGATGAGACACAATACTAAAAATAAAATGATTGCGGAAAAAAGATTGAAAAAGGACAAACATTGGGAACAAAATTTACGGAGATACATGGACTTTTAAAGACAATATTTTACATTTATTCTCACAAACAAAACCATGTCACACACTACCAGCATGAGTTCTCATTAGAAAAAAGGTTGAGTATTAAATTAAAAAAGAGATTCATGATAAAGCATATGCCTTTTTTCTTTCTCAATGGAAAATAGTTAACTCCATGAATATCAAGAGGGAGGGGTGGAATTAATTTAAATACTGCTTTATCTCTTCTGGGTTGAAATGAGATGGTTTATAGTAATATCTGAGCTGATACCTGCTTGTTGACTTATAACACTAGATTAAATTGGCCTATCAAATGGCAGTCAATCCACTGTCACTTCAATCCAAGGTGTTGTGCAGTATTTACACAACCTTTGTTGTTGTTGACATTCAGTCATCATCTAGGACAAGCAAATAACTGAAGATGTGTTAGAGCAGGGATCTTTGTATACACGAAGAACCATCATTGGAAAATAATTGAATGATATAGTTTTTGCATTAGACTGCTGTCATGCTGAATATTTTTTACAAAGTAAAATTTCCATACCTTTACAAAATTTTACCAAATACATTAAAGATGTCTCGTGAGACTTGCATAGGTCAATTTGACATTGATATAGCTTAAAAAAAAATTAATAATCATAAAAAAGACAAATAATTGCCCCCCCCCAAAAAGAAAAAAAAAAAAACATATAATTTGAGATAATACATTTGAGAAAATTATTTGGTCATCTAGACAGCTGATATCATGTAGTCTGTTGCATTGTGAAGCTGTTTTGGTCTAGTATATACATTCTTGTGAACCAAACTTCTGAGATATGTGAATACTGGTATGCTATTCATGTTTCATTTTTACCTGCCATGAATATGAAACTAATTTTTCTGACAAGCAGGACAATAACCTCGTATTTACCAACTGGTGGGATAATGATGCTTCCTTATTAACCAAGTGCATACCAGGTAAATCTATGAATTAACTGTCTTGTATTGAAAACGACAAGCAAACTCAACTTTATGCACTCCCCTGAAGAAGGTTGTTTGCCCAAATGAAAGTGAATTAATTTAAAATGTTCCCATAGTGATTGTGACAAAAACCATGTAATCCTATGTATTCTGCCATGTTTTTGGCTTTGCTTCACCAAGGCTTCTGAAGTCTGGCTGGGTGGAATAATGTTTTATTGCTTCAATTAAAATTTATTCACATACCCTCAGTAATTGCTGCATACTGTACATTTCCATTTGAATATTAATCTATGTGGTATTTTAAAGAACAGTCACTGCTCAAAGTTAAAAACCTTAATAGCCAAAAATTATTTTGAAAATAAAGTATAAGGGCTTATTTAAAGTTTATTGCACACCATTAAGATAATTTTGGAAATTTACATAATGTCAAAAATGTCTTTTTACTTATTTTTTTTGTCAAAACGGTGCTGTTTTGGTAATAAAACTTGAAAATGTGTCTGATCCAATGCTTTAAGTTAATTATCAAAGAAACATTATTAACAGTGGGTCCTATGAAAAAGGTATGGCAGGATGTGATCAACATTTGTTGCGTTTCATTTGTACATAAACATTTCAATCTAGTGCATATTTTGATTTAGCCAAGTAACGTACTATTTTTATTATATATTTGAAATAGTTACATGTATCAACTTTTCTTTCATTAATTACGGATTATCTTCATTCAGATGAAGTCACCCTTAACATTTGACAAAAAAAAAATAAAAATAAATAAAATAAATAAATAAATGCCAAGAAATATAATATGATTTGTGATTTTCATATCTGATCAATTCAGTAAAAAAAAATGTAATAAAAAAATTATCTGATCAATTTAGTAAAAAATAATAATAAATATAGCTAGATGTCTACATTATTTAAATTATTCCCCTATACCTCCAATTGCAGTTTTGGAATTTTAATTTAAATTTTAATTTAACTTAAAAGTCTGATAATTTATTATTCATTTCTGTTAAGTAATTATACTCCTCTCTGATAAAATGTGGCTACCAGGTGTGCTGTCTGCATGCAGCATAGCCATAAATGCTTTGCATTTTTAGTATTTATAAAATGTGTTTATGAATTATGCCACAATTCCTGGGTTTTTAATTTGCTTACATAATACCTTCCAGAAAATGTGATATTCATTTTATCTTTGCACCTCTTGCCCAGAAGTACAATTTACAAATACTGGGTAAAAACGGGGATCTGCTGCACCCTTTGACTTTGTGATTGCGTTAGAGAAGCCACTCTAAGTTTCAAACAAAATATAAGGAAGTTATGAGTTGATTATACTCACTTAGTAAAAGTACTTATGTAATTATTCCTTTAAGTTTACTTAGAGTCAGTGTGCGTTTGGTTTAATTAACAGAACATTAAAATTAACGATTTCATATTTCGTGCAAACCTATCCATATACCTGTCGCATTCGCTTCTGATTGGTTCATTTCTTACTTCGCGGATTGTAGCTTTGATGTTAACATTATGGGATGGCAATGGTGGGCGCGTGATTTTGAACAATTGGGAATGCAATCCTCAGGAACAGGTAAGATTCGCTAGCGGTATTTCTCATAAATTAAACTCAACTTCAAGGGGTCTTTATGCAATAATGACCTTATCATCCGTCCGTATAATGGTGCAATGGAAAGGTCGACGAGCATGGAATGGCTTGCGATGAAGACCTCTTTACCGACTATGTCACATTTTCACGAAAACTACTTGCAAAATACTCGATTAAAATTAACATTAACATTGCATCGGGCTTAAGAAGAGTGGTAGCTCACTTCGATCGAAAGTTAAGACTTTTCTTGTCGGTTTGTTATTAAAAGAAACCAGGCAGTCTTGCCCCGTATGTTTTGCCGTTCAAATTTCCCTGCATTTTAGGCAAGCAAATGGCGCGCCTTTCAAGCACGCTGGTGGAGAATATCTTGGGGGAAATTCAGTAGGTTAATACTTGATGATATAATCGTATTTTTCTTAGTTGTTGAGGAAATGATGCAGGGAAGTTAAAGAATGTTTAATGATAAGGGTCGATGCCCTGTGTAACCGTAGGGTTAAGGTTTGTTTTGGATATTTGGGTCAAGACTCCAAATTGACTAATTACCTCTATCATGGTGAATTAAATTAAACTACAGAAGCATATTGTATTTAAAAAAAAATGAATGCAAGATGCTTATGTATTTTGTGAACTGTTGATAAATTTCACCTTTGTGGCCCAAGCTTGATGCATTTTCTTTTGACCTTGTTATATCATCATCATCAGCCCAATCCTCCTTATCGAAGCTTCTCGGCACACTCCATGGACCAAGCCCCTACATTTCTTTCTATCAACTGCTGTCCTCGTGGTCTCTATTACACTTTTCTTGTCCATTTTTGTATGTTGGTTTTCCATCCAAACCTCAGCCTGCCACACTTTCTCCTTATCGGGACACTTTGAAATCTTGATGGCCCAGAAAAATAAGCTTCCTTTTTTTGATCATGTTCAATAATTCATGCTCAAGTTCCTCAAGAACAGTGTTGTTTGTTCTTTTTTCTCACCATGAGATGTTATCTCACCACACTCATAATATCACAATGAGGTGGTATCACAAAGTTAGCTCACATCAGCTAAACTCATTGGTAAGTCTAGGATCAAGATCTGAAGAGGATAATCAATTAACTCTTTCATATCCTACTGGACAATTCTCTACAATGTGCAATTTTGATTTGTGAAAAGGTTGGTCAAACTGTAGTAGGCAAGAGACAAAAAATCTGTTGCAGGTAGAGGTAATTCTTAATTCAGTTAATATATTTTAAGTCATGTCAGAGTCAAACAACAGGATGCACCATTGTTTCAGTGAATAAATAATAATTTGTTTCTTACCTAATATAGGTGACTATAAAAGCTTCCAAATTTTTATTTTCCTTTGAATTAAATGGTTACAAGGGTTTGATCCTTTCTGTGATAAATGAATGAGTTGTTGACTGTACCATGAAATCTTATTTTTTCAACATGTAGCCTGTCGCATGAAATAGCTACTCCTTAATTTAATGATATTATACTCCATTTTCAGGGGGACAAGCCCCAATTGAATAGGATTTCCCACTTGAGTAGGATTACACCTTGGACCTAGCCAGACACATTACCAGTCACGCTGGAGCAATCAGATCTTGGGGAGGGTAACCTGGGATCTTCCCAGCTCAGTAGCCAAGACTTTGTAGCTCTTGAGAACATTCAAGCAGAACTAGCTAAGCTTCAGGGAGCCCCTAACGCAGCCGTGGAAGGAAACACAGGGGTGCCCAGCTCTGCTGCTGTGGTAGTGGAACCAGCACATGGAACAAATACACTACTCATAAATCCAGCATCACTGCAAGAAGTAACTAGGACAAGTCAGGCTGCACCAGTGGTGACCAAGGTTGTTTTAACCAAAAATCCTTCCACAAATCAACAAGTACCTGTAACACTATCTGGAGTTGTTCCAGCAGCTTCAACTGTCATGACGACAATGGCTTCTGTTGTCAGTGGAGTTCAACAAGTGCCTGGAACACCAACAAAGACCATTACTCTTTCTCAGGGTGGTATCATACAAGGCTTGTCACCTGGCAAAGTTATAATCGCCCAATCTGGAACCCCACCCAAGCAAACTACTACTATACCTCTGGGAAAGATTGCCATATCTCCCTCAAAGACCCCTACTAAAATAACAATGATTCCTGTTTCATTAGGCAAATCTCCACAAAGATTTCAACCAGGATCTACAATGGTTGCTTTAGTAGGAGGAAGAAATGTTGTTACTACTGGTGTAGCTGGCCAGAGCTCTGGGACAGTGCTTACTTCTGCAACTGCTGGAGCCAAACCTGCAACAATAACCATGTCACCATCCAAGGTGATAATTCAGAGACCAGGAGTGGTAAGGCTGCCTCTTCAAGTAAGATTTAAACCAAAGCAGTCATTGCATGCTGATAAAATTGTATTTACCTGTTATATTTGAAAATGCATGCACAGTGTAATAAAGTTAATAAGTAAATTGCTGTAAATTGATGTGCTTTTGTATTTTTGATAAATAGTAACTCTCTTTGTCTATTGCACTAAATATCAACAGCAAGACTGTTACATGTTGATTATATGTTGTTGTTGTACTTGCAGCAAATGGTCAAACCTACTTCACTTACTCAAACCATGGCTGCTGCACCTGGTCAAGTGAAGCAAGTTACAATACCCATTTCATCTGCAAACACTGGGAATGTACATCAAATCCAGGTGCCAGGAAGTAAATTCCATTATGTACGCCTTGTCACTGCACCTACCTCTAATGTGAATTCAACTCAAGGTAATGTTGATTTTAGGTGTACTAGAGCAAGATTTTACAAGAGATAAAGACATTCCCAGGGCTCATCCTTTTGTTAATATTACATATGTTTAAATTCATAGACTTGGTGTGGTTACCCTAGATTCTAGATTCCGGTGTTGCCAGCTCGATCTTGATTTCATATATAACCCATATCAGCAATACCAGGCTCTAGCGAACACCGACAATTCGTAGGCGTTTCTTATAAATTTTGGGGCGCTTCCATATTTGGAAGTCACAAGTCTAGTACATCACAGCTGTGTCCCCCTGGAGCTCCCATATTTGGAAGTCGTGTCTCGTACGTCACAGCTCTGTGCTGCCTGGAGCTGCCTTTCCCACCTTGCAGTTTTTTTTTTTTTTTTGATTGACGGAAATCGCACACTGTCGCTGTTCTTCAGAGCCCGATCTGACACTCAGGGCAGGTGTGGTAAAATTGTTTGCAGTATTTCCGGTTGCACATTTATACATAGGTACAAAATTAATATATATTTACCATATTGAAAATGTAACAATTTAAATATATACATGTATATATATATATATATTACACTTGTTTTATACAGCCAGCAAGGCCAGCTCAGCCCCAGTTGCTATTCAAGCCCGACCAATTGCTCCTGCTGCTCAACCTGCAGGTGTGCCAACCCAGCTGAAGATTACACTCCCGGTCCAACAGGTATAGCATTTAGAACAGGGTATTTACTAATCTTCATTGGATTGCTGCTTTGCATACAGGGTCTTGTAAAAAATCTTTCATTGAAAAATAATTTCATTTACCAGGCGGTAACATCATTGAAAATCACTTAAAAAATCCTTCTCCTTTTCAAAAAACCTTTTATCCTGTATAGACTCAGATCAACAGTAACTATAAGTAGAATATTATAACAAGCATATTTTATCACTTCTGAAATCATTCAGGGGTTTTGGCAATTGTTTTTTCTATAGGGGTCTAGTCAGATTACAACCCAGCAGCAAAGATTGCTTTTGCCTGCCACAACACAGCAACAAGTGACAGTGCAGGCATCACAGCCTGTAACATCTTTAACCCAAGGGAAGACCAGTGCACAGAGCAATATGTCTGGGCTGCCCCCTGGCACTACAATCATTTCAAGTGGAACTGGTGGACAGGGGATGCAACAGTTTGCTTTAGTGCCAGCTCAATATGTAGCACAGGTAAAAAAAAAATTAATAGGGCAGGTAGATTATAACATTGTTTCTCTAAAGATTTTGGAAAAATAGTGCCGTAAACACAATGCATTTGATTGACTCACTCAATCTCCAAATTTAAATTATTGTTTTTCTTTTTATCAAGAGCTTATAAAATGTATGGGTATAACCTCCAATATTTCTGTGACTGTCAGTCACCATCATCAGGGAGTAAATGACTATGAGTAAATGATGATGGTGACTGACAGTCACAGAAATATTGGAGGTAATACCCACATACTTTATAAGCTCTTGATAAAAAGAAAAACAATAATTTAAATTGATACATACAGAGCTAATGAAACTGTTCTCTCAATCTATAAATGTTTTTAGTTTTTTGTTAAGACCTTATTTCTTTTTTGCACTTTTATGTTGTTTTCAAACATAAATAATACCACTTGACTTAATTTCTGTCAGTAATGTTGCTTTTGCTTAACATCACAGTTTCAACAGCAGCTTTCACAACAACAACAACAGCAGCAGCAGCAGCAACAACAGCAAGCGCCACCAGTTACTACCCAGAAAGATGCAGGTTTTGTTCCTATACAGAGCCAAGACCCTGTGCTCAGCGCTGCTGTAGCGGCCAGGCATGCAGTTATCAATGGGTATTACTTTATTTTTAAATTGAATTTTTATGATGTATTTAATTGATTAAATGTGAAATTTAACATCAGCAATTGTTTTGAAAAGAATATGTACCTGACACAACAAATATGTCCTGACAAGTTGAAAAGAGAGATGTTAATTTTGTCTGAATTAGGTTGTATGTTATATACTGAGAATGAACTACAGAAAATGTACACAAAGACTTCAATGGTCTTGTAGATTTTTAGTGACTTTGTGTGATTTGTGAAATTTAACTTTATTAGCAGGTCATCACCTATTGAGCCTACAGGAGCTAGACCTAGAAAACCTTGTAATTGTACAAAGTCACAGTGTCTCAAATTGTAAGTATTTCTAGCTGATGTTAACTTGCCAAATGAACTTGAAATGTTGACATGTCCTCTTTACATAAAAATTAAGTTTGTCATTGCTAACTAACATTATTTTTAAATATACTTTATTTAAAACATTTTAACTTTATTAAGAAAGAAAAAGAAAAAATTTGTAAAATTCAAGAAAAGAAAAAGAAAAATTTGTAAAATTCAGGATCTAACACTCAGGATTGTAATGTTGATATATTAAAAAGAATACTAATGTACAGAAATAAAATAGAAAGGTATTAGGTACAGTATTTTGAACGAATAAATATGGTAAAGGGGATTTCTGACATATAGAAAAGAGTATGAGAAAATTGAAATATAGATCTTTTTTGTGGACTAATTTGTCAGTAGTTTGCCATCTGTCTCAGATTGTGATCCACACCCGCTTGTTTTTCAAAATATATGAAAAAGAAAATAACTTTATTGGATCTTCAATCATATAACTTAAGGAAATTATCTTCATAGGTTTTAGGACCACACTTTTGCCACTAACCAATGACAGTGTCAGTCCCACTTTCTGAGTTCTTGGGTTACAGCTGCACATGAATATGTCTGAAATTGTCTAGATTGCTCTGAATTTAATACAAACTTGGTGATTTTTTTATGAAGAAAATTACAAACTTTTCATGATTTCAGATATTGTGACTGTTTTGCCAATGGTGAATTCTGTCACAATTGCAACTGTACAAACTGTGCAAATAACTTGGAGCATGAAGAAGAAAGACAGAAAGCGATCAAATCTTGTTTAGAAAGAAATCCTCTTGCATTTCACCCCAAAATAGGTGAGTAGTTCTGATGCCTTAAACTGTTCTTTATATATGGAAGTGATGTAATTGTTACTTTAGATGTACAAGAAAAAATGGTGATAACAGTTTTGTGTGTAATTTTAATATTTGAATGTATGTTTAGGCAAAGGGGGTGAAGGTGATAGGAGGCATCAAAAGGGGTGCAATTGCAAGAGATCTGGCTGTCTAAAGAATTACTGTGAATGCTATGAGGTAAGTGCTGGTACACTCATTTGGTACTATTCTTTAATCAGTGTTTTTTTTATCTTTGGTTACTACATTTGGGTGTTTAAATGGAATACTTGTTTTGTAATCAGAAAAAAAGGTGACTTTGCATACAAGTGCTGTAGATGAGTTCTTTGGCATTATGTATTTCACTCTTTTCAGGGTTCTGGCCAACAAATTTTTAAAAATTTCTTGTTCAGTTTTTAAAGATAATTTTCTTATACATCCTCGACCCCTTTCATTTTTCAGGCCAAAATTATGTGCTCTGCTATTTGCAAATGTGTTGGCTGTAAGAATTTTGAGGAGAGTCCCGAAAGAAAAACTCTTATGCATCTTGCTGATGCAGCTGAAGTCCGAGTGCAGCAACAGACAGCAGCCAAAAGTAAACTGTCTTCCCAGTTTCAAGACCTACCCAGCAGACAGCAGGCTCTGACTGCAGGAGAAAAGTAAGCCCCTCTAGATACTGCTATTTGCAAATCTGAAGCCTTCTGGGAAGTCATTTGCAACTGGAAATTGAAACAAGTCTTTGTAATTTTACTAGACTTTAAAATGTGTAAATAAAAAGGTGCAATTCTGCAAATGCTGGTTGTATTGTGAGTGTGAAAAGCTGCTACTGTGTGTGACATGTTTCAGGAATTTTGTCCTGAGTAGCATCATTCTGTAGGGACAGAAACATGTCAAGGGATTGATGTTTTACTTTGTAATTTTATTTTCTTCAGATTACCATACTCCTTTGTGACACAAGAGGTGGTTGAAGCAACATGTGCTTGTTTGTTGGCCCAGGCAGAGGAGGCAGACAGGCAAAGACTGTCTGAAGCTAAACAACAGCAATTAGTTCTGGAAGAATTTGGCAGATGCCTTTTGCAAATTATTGATTCTTCTAATAAAACGAAAGGTAAGTGTGCTTTTCATATGAATTGTCTGATGTGCTCTTCATGTAAATTGCCTGTCTATCATAAAAGGTAGGTATACTATATAGTTAAATGAATGCATGTACCAGATTTTGTAATAATAGATTAAATATGATATCAACAAAAAGTATATTAAACCATGTAAATATACATTTGTTTATCATGCTAGAGTTATCTTGGAAACCTTACAAATGATTTATTATTTTAGCACCTAGCCCAAGTCCAAGGTAGTAAGATCAAACAACACGGATGGTATATCATCAGGCACTCCAAGAAAGATGAAAATGTGGAAAACTACCTACTTTTTTTCTAAGAGGAAGGGACATTAATGATCTCTCTTCCAAAGCACTACAAGAAAAGTCCCTATGTAAGCCACATGCAGACTTGCTGTTCGTGCTTGTGGCAACCCTTACTTTTTGTGTCAGATTGGAGGGTCCAGATGAAATGCAGTGTCTTCTTGAAACCAATATTGGTTCAAAGTAGATGCATTGAAAGTATGTAGGACCTTAAGAAACATTAGTTTCAAGATTTCAAGTTTTTTTTTCTTCCTCAAAAAAGATGACATGTAACGGACTTTTTCAGCAATCATGTTACAACAACGATAAATCATTCTGTTATACAAACATGTAGAAACTGAAATGGAGAGACCTGTCCAGGTTGTTGTTTTGTAACTAAATAACTGATGTAAAAATGCAGAACAACATTGTTATTATTCCCTAATAAAATTATGAAGGAACTTCTTATATGAAAGATGGAAAATGAAATAACACACTTTTGTAACATATACATATATCCCATATGTCTGACTAAAATATGTATATATGCTGGGATTTTAGCCAAAATGCCTGTAGCATATAATCTCGTTCACTTTGGTAGGATCATGACAAAAAAATTAGCTCATGGTAACTGGCATTTATTTTAACAATTTTCTGAATTTTTACCCTGTACAAAGTATCATGTTGTAATCTGTAATTGTGAGATCTTTTTATTGTAAATATAGAAAAAATATTTTGTTTTAAGAGCATAATTGGATTAATTGAATAGATGGTCTTAATGTTGCACAGTATTTATTCAACTGCAACTGTGGTATGGGTATGTAAATTTATTTGATATTTAGTTTAAGCAACTGCCATCCATTTATTTGATGCCTTGCAAAGGAATGTTTGATGTATGGAAAATGAATTTGTAAATTTGTGGTATTTGTGTAAAATAAGAGAACAATTATTAGGATGGTTGATTTTTTTAAACCTGGCCACTTTGCCATGCAGTTTTCATTTGTGAAACACTACTACATTATCGTATACAGTGATAAATAGCTGTTTTTAATATGTAAAAAATATATCATTTAGTGGGCAAGTTATTATTTTGCTTGTTTGTGTCACTAAATGAAAAATGTATTATAAGGAAAGAGTGGTGTAAATAAATGCATAGTGAAGCTGAGGTTGGGCTGTTTTTTGTGGTTTGTGGTAAACTGTTCCAAAGATATCCAGTACAATCACTTGCAATTAATGAAAAGAAAGATGCTACTTCAGGGGCAAACGAAGGACAAATTCATTTGAAGTTGGCATGCGTGGGGCATATTGAAACACTTCAGATTTAGTTCTGACATCTAGACAATTTTCACTGCAGCAGTAGTTATCATTATCATTTTGCTTTGGTCGTTACGTCTACGACCTTGCTATCCCTGCTTCGGGTGCAAAACCCAGTATCTTCTTGCAGCTCTTTTCGAAAAGAGGATAGAAACTTAAATATGGCAAAAAATTAAAGCGTGACCGTACGTAAGTAAATGGTTTGCATCACGTCAGTGGGGGTTGCAGTGAGCATATGAAACGTATATAAATTTTAAGTTTCACTTGTTAATGACTTAGTGGCGAATACCCAAATTAACTAGAGCTTGGTCACACGATAATATATAGCTGTCTGAAAAATGGACCTGGGACTTGGAATTTTAGGAAGACACGATTTAGCGGTATGTTAAGATTTATTTCGCTTAGAGTTGTGTAGTTAACATTGAATGACTGTGTCCGTGCCAGAAAGTTGGGGTTAAATCAGATGTAGTTTTGTTTAAGCATGATACCAAGTCTCTGTTGGACTAAACGGCACAGTTCTTGACTAACGACGAGTGAATTGCCAGTTAATTGTTCATTTCATTTTGACCTGAAGCACCGAGTTCTCGCGGGCTGTCACACCAATAAGCCAAAAGTTTATGCATTTAACTTGAAGGCAATTGAAATTCATGGTTTGAAATAACCATTTAATTTTATATTCATAAAGAATGTTAATTGTTATTATCATTAGTTTAAACGAAATCTTCCATTTTGGCTGGAATGTTACTCATACACACACAGATACTCATGCACCGATGCACGCACTCATGCATATACTCTCATGCACACACATCCACACACGCACACACACATTAATCTTTCAACCAAATGAATTACTGATCAGAATATTATTAATTGAGTTGTTTTCATCCTTCCTGGTTAAAGAAAAAGTGGATAAGGAATGTATAAATTATATAAATCTAGGCTAGCTACTGCAGTGTGTGTATATACTCATGATCAGTTATAGTAAAAAAAAAAAAAAAAAAAAAAAAAAGAAGAAAAGAAGGCCCTGGATCAAATTCTTCATATTGTGAACTTTCCTATTTGATTTTAAGTTTTCATTTCAAGTACTCAGTATTTGCTTTTTCCCCTCCCCAGTTTATTAATTTGTCTCATTAATTTTGACAAAGGGATATTCCAGTGAGACTGGACCTACTAGTAATTTATGTGTATCAGGTGAAAGAAATAAAGTAATTTGTGTGCTGGTATGATTATACTAGTATTTTATTTTTAACAATGCATGAACAAAGAATTAAAAAATTGTATCTGCTTTTATAGAATATAGGTTAAAATTGGATGACATCATTGTACTTTTTGTCTTATTCTTGCTTATATACTTTAGTATGTTTGATAGTTAGCAAATCGGGTAATATTTTTAAATGTTACCATTTTACCTGAAAATTATATTGATTAAAATGGAATTTTCAATTGATTTGTTGGGATTTGAAATTCTTTATTAGAACAACATTTTGACAATTCTTTAACTGAGTAAAACTTGAAAAATTGAAAGAACATGGGTATCTTCATAGAATTTTTCATAATGAGTAGAAACTGCTTTTTTGTGAATGAAAGAAAAGGGCTGCTGTAATGTTTTTTTTTCAACCTGTGCTATTTTGAAATTGCCCTTGCTTACATTTGATATAAAAATTTATATAGGGTTCATTTTACTATTTTACAAAAAATGTATGCATAAAAACATGACAGTGGCTGTTGCTGCAGAAAAGTTGTATGTGTGTGTATCATACAAAATAGCTTTAAATCAACATGAAAGACTTCCCCTTGGGAATTGAACTGTAAACTTGATAGAATTTTATTGGGTTAGTCAAGACACCAAAGACAAGATTTGAATATTTTTGCAATGGAGCAATGCCATTGGAAATCCCCAAATCGTCTGCTGCAGTAATTGTATTGATTTTATTGCCTCGTACTGGCAGACAATTACTTGTTTGAGCAAAATATTCTGACAGAATCAGTAAACTTTGGCATTTTCCTGATAGTGGGTCTGAACACTGTTGGTTTTTAGAAGATAGAGTTCTAAGGTGGCCACAAATGGTATGATGTTACGAAGGTCTAATGGAAGGTGGTAATTGATAAAATATGCACTTCATTTCATGTTGATCATTGCTTTTTTTTTTTTTTTTTTTTTTTTTTTGAGGTATAGCACAGATTCCTCTGTGGATTAAGTTCATTTTATATTAAGGCAAGGTGAACAGAAAATGCAGGTAAGCAGTTTGCAAAGTGATGTGTATTATTTTCTCAAAAATAGAAAAAATGAATAAAAAGATCTAAGAAAGATGGGCATAGTTGGTCAGAAAACAGATGGATCCAAGTTCTTCAATGCAAATAATATGTATGTAATACTAATACTTAAAGAGAATCAGTGTTGTGACATATTGAATTATCCTATAAGATATATTAAATACAAAGAATATTTTGTTTTTAATGTGATATGGGCTGAAGTTTGTATTTATATAAATTCATTTTTATTAGTGTGACCAAATTCCAAGTTTTGTGCAAGATTGTTAGAGCATTTTATCTTATTAATATTTAACTTTAACAAGTATTCAAATATGTTCAGGTATGCATAGAAAACAGATTTTATAATCTAATAACGTGCAACATTCTAAAATAAACACAATTTTTTTGGCAGATACTAGTATTGGTTGATATACTAGTTTCTGATGCAGGCATTGGCAAGAAATATTCTAGTCTTGTCCTAAGTGTCTTGATTCAGCCCCATAATGATATTTGTCAGGTTTTGTGTCATTTTTACCATGGTCATATCATATGGCTGTATATATTAAGTGCTATCAATACTTCATCTCACAAGTGTAACCATGAACTCATATGGTTGATATGATGGACTAAATGTTCCAACTGGAGTTAAGGGTGATAGGAAGAATAGTTTGTTTTCATTTGTTGTCCAAAATTAACAGGATTTTGTTCACATTTGATCCAAACGTCAGGCACTTGTCGAACTGGAAGTCCTACACCACATCTTTGTAAGTGTTTATCGAACATGATTGTAGTTTGTGTAATTAATTGATTTTTCTCTGGGGGTGGGGGTTGAGAAGTGATGAAATTTGAGAGATAATTTAGCAGTTGTGGGCTCAATAGCCAATTTCTTTTCTCATTGGTGATATAACATATATGCGTGTGTCTTTAATTGAAAGATATATTTTTAACACTGTGTCACACAGAATCGCTTTGATTCTTCACTAGAAAAGTAGATTGTATTTTCAAAATATTTCCCTTGAACTGTGTACTTGCCACCAGATACAACCCTGTTAAAATGTTTGCAGAAGGTAATAGGTTGAAATTCCACTGGAGGCAATCGGTCGATTTTTCTGCCCATCATTAGTTAATTGTCCATTTGTTATAATAATCAGATAGTCTATGATGCAGATAGTCCACAGAACATTTAGTGCTTTTAGGCAAGTTTTATCTAGGAGGGCTGATTGCATTGCAATTGTAAGTTGATTAGGGAGCATAGGAATATTACACTGTATGAATTCAGCATTTAAGGTTTTTTCTTTAGGAGGAGCTCTTATGGTTTTGCAGCCAGAATGATACTGAGATGCTTTCTGACTTCTCTACTATTCCTATATGTATTGACAATTCAGGATTAACCCAATTGGATCAGCATAGCTGTACTTGTTCTGCGTTGAAAGATAAACTAATCTTCGCATATCAGCGTGCAGTCTGCTGCAACCACAGAGGCTTATCCCCAACAGTTTTGGTGTTCAGAAATTTTTGTTTATTTCTCTTATTCTCGTATTTAATATGCCTGTTGATGAAGCCAAGTTCAAAGAAATGGAGGCTTTATGACTCAAAGTTCATGATACTGTTTTTAATAAAACATTTGGATCTTGATGAAGGTGGTTGTGTAAGCTGTATGGATGCTTTAGAATAATAGTCCAGAAAAGAATCCAAAAATTGACTATTTCTTTAAATAAATTATGCCTTTTCAGTTAAAAGCAATATGAATAAGTACAACACCATGGAAGAATAGTTATGAGATAGAGATGACTTAGAAAAGTAATATCAGAGGTTTAGTACTTATTATGTTTGCACATCTAAAATCCTTGTCAAAGGTGGGTTTCCATATATATATATATATATATATATATATATATATATATATATATATTTTTTTTTTTTTTTTTTTTTTTTTTTTTTTTTAGATTGAAAAATGATGTAAAATTTTACTCTGGATTTTAAGGTACTAGAAATGTTGTAAAGAATTGTTTAGACTTAGATATTGATGATCAATCCTTAAGATGATTATCTACATATCTTCAGGGTAGCCAACCTTATTATTCTCCATTTATTGTTCGAAATAGCTCGGTTATGCCAATTATCAGTTTATAGGATGTTTACGAATATCCTTTAAGTATTGGAGGATAGGAGTCGTGAGCCGGCCGCGCCAGAATTTTTAAATTGTTATCATACTATGCCTATATATACATATATACATACATATATCTGTGCATTCCTTTACGGTAAACTGATAATAATAATGGCATAAGGTGGGTTGTATGTGAAACGCCATTCTTATTCATATTTAATTGACAGTTATTAATTTGTTGTATAATAAATGATGCTTACCCATTCTCGGTTCTGGTGTCAAGGGGTTGGGTGGTGGGAGGCGTTTTCGTACTTACCAACAAGGTTCTCTTTTACCTGTCGTCTTCGCTGGTCGTAGCTTCGACTGGACACTGATCAGTAGTCGGTTCATATGTTCACGTGGCCGTATCGCGAAAAATTAGTGGACCATAGATGACCCCTAGGGTCATATGGGCTCCGTCATTTAATTAGCTATCCCCGCAATTGTATAACATGCTCTACTAGCACTTGTGCGTACGTGATTAAGGTCTACTAGCAACCGCGTATGCGCGGCCACCACGGATCCTCCTTTCCTTCCAATAAATTTATTATTTTAAAAATAATATAACTTTGTGTATAGATCTATTATGCCTTGTAATTATTAACAGTTGGATAACTCAAAAACAAAGGGGACTGACTTTCAGAAATGCTAATAATATACTTAGATGTGTAGAGTTGGAGAAGTTATATCTGCCTGTAGACTTGTATTGTAGAATTGATTGTCTGCTGTATTCTGCAGGTGGAGATGTTCACAGAGATAATCCCGTGGGACGGCCCCAGTTGGTAATTGGTTCAGTAATGCTACGTGGAGGTGAACCGTTTCACAGGTATGTGGACATGCTTAATTTGATTATAAGCCTGCTGACCATCATTTGGTCATATTTGGTCTATCTGAGCTTATGAGTGACCTTCTGAGCAATGTTGTCTGTGTGGTTGTTTGTAGATATTAGTTTAAAAGGGATAACAACTATTCATATGAGATTCAAAATTCCACAATAAATACATTCAATTGTAAAGAACACATGGGATATAATAATTCCATTTTACCTCCAGAAGGGCGCTTATCGTAATTATTCTGAAATCTGTGCTTGCCAGCGGACCATGTGGACCTGCATAGATGGCTACCCTCCATAATAATCTCTTTAGAGATTATTACAAAAAAAAAAAAAAAAAAAACTTGAAAAGAAAACATTTGACTAACTTTGAATGTCAGAACAGATTCTTTACCCATTGCAATATATGGAAAAGTTGTTTTTTATCCTTTTTATGGCACTTTTCCTGCCAAAATGAAGAAATGTCATCCCTTGAAGAATAGAATCTACCAGAAAAACTTCCTTTATTTGGAGATGCGCTACTTACTGGGGTTGCTGTGAAGCATGTCTCATTTTAGCCAAACAGCTTATTTTCCACCAATTTCATAAGTAAATCAAATAAAAATTATCAAAGGATAAACAAACTAGATTTTCTTTGTCATTTACTGAAAGTTCCTGTCCTCTCATTATCCTGAGTTAAAGTACCTGCTCAAATCCTGCCATGTACTGTAGTTGAAGAATAGAAGAAAAATTGTTTAATTAGACCACCAATCTTATTTTAAACTATTGGAAATGATCAATTTTTAGTTCAAACAGTAAGAACAAAGAAAAGCTTTTTTTCTTTTCTTTAAAATTTTTTTTTTGTATGTGTGTGTGTGCGCGCGTGTTTGTTCACAATTTATGTGAAATTTAATAGGAAAGTTCATGAAATACTTTATGGTAGACTTGAGCAACTTCCTTGAAGAAAATCTCATTAGGCATATTGGAAGAAAGTTATACTGGTAACAAGCCCAAGGTCAAGTTATTCCGTGTCACTGGCAGTCATTGGTGTGTAATACCTAGACAGCAGACAGTGGTGAAACAGATTGTTTTAAGAACATTTGCAGTTATGTGAAGCAAATGTTCGAATAAAGGTTTCCACATTTGGTTTCTTTATCTATCTTCATAAGACAAGTGCCAAGCGTGTTTTCATATGCTGGTTTGTTGTTTTTGATCTGGGAACATGAAGAAAACCCATTACAGCCTAATGGACGGACTTGTATGTCCTTGTTTTACACATTAGATATTGAGTGAAAAAGGTATTGTTTTCATCTCTGAATGCTGTCATAGATAGTTTTGTAGCTCTGTATAAATCCATGAAATTTGCCTGTTGTGAACTTTGACTTTGTCACAAATGTAAGCTGTTTATTTAATGCGGGTGAAGTAAGACTGCTTTTATTAATTCAGCTGATAGTGTCAACATGGTGCATGAAGAGGCTGTCTGTCAGCGTAGGTTATGTATCATTAGATGTGTAAAAAAGATATTTTCTCATTTGCAGCATAAATGATCATATTTAATACATTAAAACATTTTTAAGGCAAAAAATATTATCTTCTGCATGAAAGGAAAGTTTATGGAAAGCAAAAATTATTTTTAATTCATTATATACAAGTTGTAATAATATCAAACATTTTTCTTTGCATGTTTAAGTTCTATTTTTTTTTCTGAATTAGTAGCAGTTAAATAGAAATATTATTTGGCAAATGTCAAGTTCTTGAATATTATGGGATTTGTGAAAGGTGGACTTCCTTGTTATTAGCAATTTTTGCCAGTCTGATCCTGATATATCATTTTGCATTGAACATCCAGTATTAAAGGGAAAACCATTTGGTGTCAGCAGTCAATCATATGACTTCAAAACCATTCTGTTTGTCAATATTTTTCATTAAGAGAAAGATGCACGGTGAACTTCCTAAATGAAAATGGATTTTTTTCACTTGGGAATGTAAATGTGGGGAATGATTTTTACTCTTTCACATTTTAGGTTAGATAAAATGCTCTATTTGCTACATTTAATTTATTAAGCATTTTATGAAAATTGCAGAATCCATTAACTGATGAAATGCTTGATAAAAAAGGCAGCATTAAGTAGACAGTTTAGATACACAGTAAATGTCACAGAATGTGCAGCATCTTTCACCTTTAAAAAGAATGTGTGCATTTAATGAGGTATTTTTTAATTGCTTGCTGAAAATGATCCATGATAGGTAGTGCAGATAGATTATTTAATTGAATGAACAAGGATTGGAAGGATGTTGTCTTCAGAGAGAAATTTAGTTTTTCGGATAATTCTTTTCAAATCCCCTTAAGAAAACAATTAAATTAACTGATGTTTTCTGTTATTGGATCATTACAGAATGAAAGCAAGGGAGATGGGATGCTGCCAGTTGTTCTCTAGGTTATTCACAGTCTGACCTGACACCTGGTGAACAGAAGACTGTGAACTGGACAGAATGAGGATCACTATGCCTCGAATCCTCCTCCTCCTGTTCCTCCTCTCCATGGCAACCATGATGTTTGTTGCAAGGTGTGGTATAAACATGGACAAGGTCCTTCTGCATCAGAACGCTGGGGTGGAACCTTCATTCCATGATAAAGAGCATTATGAAGCTCTCTTGTCTCAGCAGAGACTTGAGTATGAGAGGAGGATAAACAGTTTGGAGAACCAGTTGGCTGACTTAACCAGGACTCTACAACAAGTTCAGAGTAAAAGTAGGGAAAATGACAGACAAGAAGTTGAGGATGAAATGGAGGCCATTCCTATTAAATCCAGTGCAATTGATTATCATAAATTTAATGCCATGCAATTGGAAACATCAGAACTTTTACATGGTGTGCCATATAAGACTGAATATGAAATGGAATCATTCAACATGTTCACACTTAATCGGATCTATCTCATCAACCCTGGGTTAGGACGTAGAGTGGTGGAAAAACCCATTGGATACAAGAAAAAGGACCTGTTTGAGGTGCTAGGACATGCTGTTGACTCCATGAATGCCAGAAGGAGAGCCAAGAAAGACTTGTATTCTACAGACCACTTTCTCCAAGGGATCTACCGGGTCGATCCTTCTGTAGGAGCACACTATGAACTTTATTTCAGGGATTTAGACAATATGACATCAGACACTTCATACAGTAAAGTGTCCATCATGAGACCTTTTGGTCCTCTTATGACTGCTGTCACGGAAAAAATTGACACTGCCAAAGAAATGATAAATCTTATCTTGCCACTGTCAGGGAGAATAGAAACTTTCAGGACATTTTTGGATCGTTTCATTAAACTCTGTATCTTAATTGATCAGAGGGTGTATCTGACTGTTGTATATTTCGGTTTCGAAGGTTTAAATGATGTCAAATCTTTACTTAACTTTGTCACAAGAAAATATAATTTCAGTAACATTAAACTCATCAATTTGAATGAGAAGTTTTCAAGAGGAAAAGGACTTGAAGTTGGTGCCAAAAGTTTGACTAGCAGTGATGCACTGATGTTTTTCTGTGATGTTGATGTTGTATTTTCTGCAGATTTCCTGGAACGTTGTAGAATGAATACTGAAAAAGGAAGAAGAGTGTATTATCCAATTGTTTTCAGTTTATACAACCCAAAAGTTGTCTACTCTCTGCATGATGCTCCCATTCCTAAACAAAAAGACCAGCTTATAATTTCCAGAGATGCTGGATTTTGGAGAGACTTTGGTTATGGTATGACATGTCAGTACCATTCTGACTTCCTGAAACTGGGAGGAATTGATGAGGACATAAAGGGGTGGGGAGGAGAAGACGTGTTACTGTTTCGAAAATATGTGAAAAGTAATTATATGGTTGTGCGTGCCACAGATCCAGGGATATTTCATCTGTGGCATGAAAAACATTGCGACCCTAATCTTACATCAGAACAGTACAGGAGTTGTATACGCTCAAAGGCACTTAATGAGGCATCCCATGCTCAGTTGGGAATGTTAGCCTTTAAGGATGAAGTTGATCTTCACAGAAGCTATAAGAAAAAAGAGCAGGCAAAGCTTAATGGTCAATTATGAGGATTGGTTTACTCCCCTGGTGCTATTTTGTCGTCCATGTAACTTGTATTTTGTAAAAGGTACCAAGCTAATTTATTTAAAGTACTTGTACTTCAGGTTGAAATTATATATAATACAGCAATATGATGAGATTAGACTTGTTGCAGTTGGTTGCTTTGGAAACGAGTAAATAACAACATTAATTATAAAAAAGCAACTTTTATTTAAGGATTAATTTTCAGATTATTTGTAACATACATTCCTTTGATTTCAATCAAGTTATAAATGGAAACATTGTGAGTATTGCCTTGCCTTTTCATTACGTCCCTGCATTGTTACTCCCTCCACCCCTGCATGGAAACTTCTCCGCATCATTACTACTCGTGTTGAAATAATTATATTATATGCATTGATACCCCCCCCCCCCCCCAAACATCAAAACTTGTATGCATCATTAATTACCAAAATCTCCACTCACCTACATTGTTACTGTGCAGGGGAGAAATGATTCTGGGAGTAACAATGAGGGGGCATAAAAGGATGAATGAGTAACCTGTTCTTAGCCCAATAACTTCAAATATGTTACAAAAGCCATTCCTAGTTATTCCGAGTTATTTTTTATTGAAGACATTTCTAAAAATCAAATCGGAATCAAATCTTAAGATTTAAGCAGTTGTTTTTTTGAAACTTGGAAGACATAATAGTAATCCAGATTATTTTTTCCTTTGGTGGATTGCATCTCCAGTAACATACTTTGCCCTATACCACTTTTGAAAAGAAAAATCCTGGGACTTTGATGTGCAATAATCTATTCTTAGCCATAAGATATATGCCAATTTAAAATTTGGACGACTGAAACAATTTTGATGGGATTATTTAATTTTTTTCATGAACATATTCCTTGCCAACAGAGTAAATGGTACTTATTGAAATTAATTTTACAGTGTTTTATTTTCTTGTGATATTCTTGTAAAATGTGGGGTTATCTAAAGAATTCCTTATAGATTACCTGCTGTATTGCCTTTTTGTCATTCTGTTGTTTACATGATTGACTGCCCTGCTGATATTTCACATTTTGGGATTCTGCAGAATGCAAATTTCTCTTCTAGCTTGAATTTTATTTCTTGTTCATCATATTGTTTTATTTTAATTCAGACGGTCTAAAAATTTGATGGCAGTGAAATATTTTTATAACATGCAGTGTTATTGCTGATACATTGTTTTGCAATACTTTCAACAAAAAATACATTGAGATATTACAAAATGTGCAAGTTCACTTTGAAACTGCCTAAAAATGGTAATAAAATCTTTGTTGTAGTCCAGTTTTTTGTTATTTTGCAATTATGTATCTTATGGTATTAGAGACACATTTTGACTGTTTTCTTCACCAAAAATCCACTTCATCAAATACTGTACAAAAATTTAAAAAAAAAACCCTTCCTGGAAGTGTACTGATTGGTAAAAAAATTAAGCACATGTCAATGGTAAGTAATGAGTAATAAATTATTGCTGGCCACTGATGTACAAATTTCATAGAAATTGCAATTCAAACTGAAAGCCATTACTGTACACACAGAGACTCCTTGTAGACAAATGTTATGCTTCATTTCAAGTCTACAACTGGGCACATGGTTGTTAATATTTCAAGGATTGAATTGAGAGCAATAACTGATAACAAGAAACAGGAAAACCATAAGAAATCAATGTACAATCTGAAGTAAAAATCTCATTAGTTCATCCCATTCAAAAATATGTGAATCCATGACTCTGCTCTGCTCCTTAACAGGTGCACTCAAAATTTTGTGATACTTGATAGCATGTCATTTAAATTGGAGGACTAGTTACTTCTGGAATGTTTTTCAGTATGGCTGTCTGTATTGCATCATGAACTCCAGGAATATCACTGATTCCTTCCAACAGCTCAGAAGCACCATCCCTGTAAAAAATTAATCATACTTAAGACATTTTCTATTAAGAAAAGAAATAAAAGGCCAAATATAATTTTCAGCCCAAGCATAAGTGAAAAACTTAAAACCCATAGTATACTGTACGAAAAACAAGGAGTTGGTGCTGGGCATTTAAGGAAATAGGACTGAAAACATATAATCGTTATACATACAGAGTGTCCATGTTCTCAAAACTAACATTTGCATGCTTTCTGAAAACCAAATTATTGACTTTGCATCTAATTCAAAGAAAATTTTGGTAACATTTTTAAGTCATATGTTGTAATAATACAGGCTAGATACAAGAACACTTGAGGACTGTTAAGAATGAGTTATGTCTATCTGGATAAAGCAGGACTCTCGCTGAATGCGATCAGATTAACAGACTAACATGGCTCCTGGCCTTGAGTAGAATACGGAGAAGCTGGTGTACTAACATTGGAAACAAGAGGCGTGTTACTCTGATTGCATTCAGCGTGAGTCCCCATGAAGTTAGTGAGCATTAGCTAGGTTGACATAACACATTCTGAACAGTCCCTTACTTCATCAATGCTTCAATGGTTGGCCTGGCCATGTGTGACAGAAGATTAAACAAACACCTCATGCCTTGGAATTTGATTGCATCTGTCTCTGACTTCAGAGAAATAGCGATCACATTTGGTAAGTGTTGCACCTAGAAGAGAATTGAAGTATTTGGTGGGTTTATGAACTCGCGTCTTACAAAATTACCTTCACTCTAGAATGGGGAAACCATCCTACATCAATGATCAGATTTTTGATATCCGTGATGACTACAATTTTTTTTAAAACGTACTTAAAAGATATGTTACAAAATTATTTTGATGAACAAAATATCCTAGTAAAAATTCAATACTTAGTGCGGGACACTTGACCTTTATCCACTCTAAAGAAAATGCTCTTGAAACAATTGATCAAACTGATCATTCGTACCAGCCTTGATGCATTTTGTGGGAACTTGGAAAAATTGGCAACAGCCCTGGATATATGCAGAAGGAGATCCGTATGTTCATCATAAGTTGATAAAAGATTGCACATTATTTCCATATGTTCCTGCAAGGCACTCTGAAAGGAGCAAACATAATAATTTAATTAATGTTAAAGAAAACTTACATAAATGTTTTTTTTTTACTATTTGAGGTTAAACATTCTTTTTCGTTTATATTGTACCTTGTTTCTGTGTAATTAAACTTTTAAGTTTAAAAACTCTAGAGTTGAGGTGTAAAAGGTGAGAGACTTATCAGAGAAAGTTAAATAAGAATTTCAACATAAAATGACTTTACCTGGCTTTGTTCAGAGGATGCCAAATTTGCAACTGTACAAGCAGCATTGAACACTATCTGCATGTTCCTGGTGTTTGTTTTTAACACTTTCAGTAGGCATCTACCACAAGTGAAATCTTCCTGAAATTCAATGCAGAGTCTATGAAAATTTACTACAACTTCAGTCAAGTTATATAATATTATTATAAAAAAGACATATCATATTCAAGTGGTTAATTAATAAGTTTATAGTATTATCATTTTATCAATTGAATGATGGACAAATACCAGTAGAAGCCCTACTCTTGCAATGTATTGCCATATACAGAATGAGAACGAGCTGGGAAAAACAGAAGTTACAAAATTTAAAAGATACCAACATGTCAGTTTTCATTCAAAGCCAGTCCACACATGTCAACTGTGCTGCATTTTCAAGGAAACGGTTTAAACTATATCATAAATATTTCATGTTAGCTTTTTACTCTTGATGAGATTCATTCTCTAAATTTCAAATACAAATTTGGTGATTGATGATGCAATGACAAATGGTAAGCTAAAGATCAATCCACTGCATTCCAGTTTTTCAAATTATGAATCATCCATATATAGTACATACCTGCCCCTTGTGATACAGTAAAGTTAAGAGGAAAACTGACAAAAACTGACATGCATCCAGTCATAAGCTCAGGGCAAGTTTTGTGAAGTAGTCCCCCTAACCTAATTTGATCCTCTTACCTGAACAAGCCTGTTCTTGTGCCACTCTGTCCCTGTAGACAAATGAGCTAATACATTAAGGGACACCTCCTGCATCTGAAATAGCACAAACAGTAAAACAATTTGTATTTTACAAAATATTAATTAAGGTTTCAAAAAAGGTAGGAAAATAGTATAGGGTGAATCTCAGAACTGGGGTGAAATACTTATGGAGGGTTTGCAAATTTTCATTGTGTTAGTTGTGACTTTTTAGGACACAATCATGGCAGTCCATATTTTCAACCTTGGATCCATCAAACAAGTATACATGTACTGTAGATGTATGCTGGGTCCAAGTTTAACTTAAAGCATGCATGTGTGTAGGTATTTATATGTATTCTAAACTATTCATGAGACTTACTTGTTCATCTCTAGCATTTGTAAAGGCAATTATCCTAGGAAGAGCTTTATTATTGTTCTCTATCACTGCTGCATGTGTTCTGGGGTCTTGTACTATCAAACTGAGGGTGCTCACTGCAAGCAGGGCAATAGTTTCATTCATATTACACAGGGCAAGGATAGGCTGCAGGGCTCCATCTTGTAAAGCTGAAAAGGGTATTGAATACCATTTAACAATAAATATGGGCTGACTTCTTGTAAAATCTCTTGAAAGATGCATAACTTCAAAACTTTAGTTCATCTTATAATACCAAAAAAGATACCTATAATAAATCTTAAGGTTGACAACAATGTGTATGTACATTTACATATATTCTGTATACTAACTAATTCTCTATTTCATTTCTTATTCATTTGTTAAGCTCAGTTTCAAACCATAATACTGTTAACCCTGAAGGTATTCCAATTTGAATTTCATTTACAAGTACCTTGACTTTTGAAATCTACTGACTTGCAGAATATCATCAGAGTACTTATACCAGCAATAACAGTCTGTTCTTCTTCCTCTTTGGCACAGGAAAGGATTCTTAAGTAAAGTAAAATAAAACCAATGGAGACCCAAAGGCATAGGATGTTGTTGGTAACACCAGGAAGAACAGTACATTTTATATGCAAAGTCCTGAAATGTTCCCAACATTTGTCATCTAGGTTTACATTTCTGCTAATAAAATTTGATTAGGGTTCTGAAACAAACCAAACAAACAAATAAAATAAAATAAAATAAAATCTCTTTAGTTCATCAATTGTTTTTACAAATCTAAGCAACATCCTGGAGACATCTATGCAAAGTAAACAGTGAATGAGTACCAAGATTTACAATTTTATAAAACTAATCACTGTTGGTTTATATGCCCAGTTTTACAAGACTGATCAGTGTAGACTGTTGTGTGGTATATGGCACTATTTAGTTGACTCTTACCTGCATGTAGCTTTGATTCCCCCAGCTTTGACCAGATAACCCAGCAGTGGTTCATGGGAGGCCAGTGTGTGCAGTCCACACATCACGTGTTTCTACATAACATAACATAACATAACATAACATAACATAACATAACATAATATACAACACAACACAACAAAATACAACAATACCTTGAATGAAATCAAAGTCACAGTTCAAATTAAATTTAAAACTTGAAAGTGAGTTGATACAAAGATGTAACTTAGGATCTAGTTGGGTCCTAGATATAACAAAGTACACATTTAAGTAGTGTAATACAAAATCACAAAATCATGCTCAATTTTTTCTGCCATTTAAAGGAATTGAAGTTGAGGAATTGAACAGCATGATCTGCAATTTGATAAGGTATACAATGTAAAACATGCCTACCCGTATTTGCTCATTCTCCTGTTTTGATAGGAAGACCAATGTCTGGAGGCCTCCCAACTCAATTACCTGCAAATGTGAAAGTGGAAGCAAGGTTATATAAATAATGTTACCTTTGTCTTTAAAACATATCCTTGCCTGCAAGTGCATAAATAGTTTTGAAAACAAAACTGGGATAACAATTTCATTAAATCTTCAAAAGATTGCAAATAGCAAGAATTACATCATTCTTTGACACCTTGATGTTACTCACTTTTTTCATTCCTGCCGAATCCATAACCAACTCTGTCAATCCCTGCACAGCTTCCAGCTGGAACGACTGAAAAAAAACATATAGTTTAAATAACTGTTTTTCTTAGTGTTTCAGTAATTCTTTAAATTTTAATAGTATTTGGATATTTTCAATGTGTTGCAACACTTTCTAACTTAAACTAATCATAATGCAGATGTCAGAAAAATGAAAATTGGACAAGGGTCATTGTGCTTTTACAGAATTACATTTACTTTCCAACGAAAAGACCATTTGTTATCAGCATTTAAAGGCTGATGGAGGTGGTAAAGAGAGCAAATCAGATTCTTTTGGTCTTGTCACAGAATCCATTACACTGAATAGAGCCACTGTGATTAGAAATGGTGCTTTCAGAATTGCCAATATTTCCACACAGTGAAATATCATTTGCAGCAACTATTACACCAGCAAATCAGCTAAAGCACCTATACTGATGTTGACTAAAGGAGACTATTATTTTTAACAGTAAGTTTATTTAAAAATGCAACCAAAAGGATGTAGTTGTCCAGATAAATGAGTTTGAATATTTACACAAAATAAAGGATTAAGATTTAGAAAAAATTGAGTTTGAAATAAACACAGACCTCTAAAACTTACATAAAGAAAAGGTCATAAGATAAAAGTGTTTTGGAAACATTCAGAAACTATCAATCTTCCGTTACCTGATGTGATGACCTTGATTTGGTAATACACTCTGTCACAGGTTTACATACTTCACAGACACGTTCTGGGTCAGGGAGGCCAAGCTGGGGGAGGGGAACCTGGACAATGATTTAGATGTAAGTCTTTAGATTTTAGATATTTTTATCCATACTGAGTTAAGAGATGTACACTTTGAATATTTACAGCAAACCTTCTCAATGAGTGAACAATGAAGGTGATTAATACAATTTATTTTAAACAGATCTGCAAATAAACAAAATCTTAAGTCACTAACGATTTGATTTTTACCTTTTGGCTACAGCACTTGCTACACAAGACACGCCCGCACTGTCTACAGTGGTGCTTTCTACGGAGCTGATTGAACTTGTTGGAGCATATTTTGCATGTGCTCACCTCATTGTCTTCTACCCAACTGCAAAACATTTGGTTTTTTTTTACCCGTTCTCAATAGCAATTAGGAGTAGTCTAGTTCATACTATACTAGTATATCTGTCAAACTGCTGATACCTTATTGATGATTGTATAATGGAAAAACATGGTTTCCAGCATTGTTATGCTACAGTAAGATTTCATCTTTTGTTTCAAAAGTGAATCTATAAGTATAAATTATTTTTGTTGTTCAAGAACTCTAATTTTACAAGGATATTCTACTAAACTTGCATGAATGAGTTTGTCATACCGAGCTTTTGAAAATACAAAATTATTGGCTGCAAAGACGTCGACAAGTCCCTCAACTTGAGCAGGTATCACATCTTCGCCTTCTATTTTGATCCTTTCAATACATGCCATTATAGCAGTTTGGTTATTCTCATGACCCTAAACAGGCAGGCAAAACAACACGCCCACCATGTTGAAAGGTTGTGCATTGGGGAACCCCCGCGAAACCGAGGCTAATTCCCAAAACGAGACTCGGATTTCCCGTACTGCACTTAAATAGTCAGGCACTTTCCCTAATTTTAAAATCTATAGCCGATGATTAGAAGGGTATGCCTGTTTCGAGACATATGTTTATGAGATACATGTTAAGCTTTGTCCCATAAGACAATTTACACATGTTTTTTTCAAGGTAATATTTGAGAAGTAAAAGACCCATTGGACTTTCCTACAAATAAAATATTATGCCTCAAGCCAGGAAAGTCATTTTGTTTAGTTTGAACAAAATATGAAAAAATGAACTAGGAGACACGGTTCAGTGTTTTGAATGCATGAAGAAAGTAAAGGTGACAATGGTATTTTGGATAAAGGGATGAGAGGAAACTAGATCAATTTCAGTTTCAAAGGGTATTTCATTCTAAAAATCCCCTTTGCCTTTTAACACTAAGAGTTGTACAATGGAATTTTAGCCAGATATTGAACAATTTTAGACATATTTTTATAAAATAGGCATGGGGAATGCATGTAAGAACATTAAAGTCAAATTTTATATTTGAAATATGATTGTAAAAAGGGAGCATTTCATATTCTCTGCATATGAAGTTATTTACATAAAACGGTGGTAAGTAGTTTAAGACAGTGGTAAGTGACTTGAACTATACACATAAGATTAAGTAACTCAATAACTTTTTTAGATTCTAGCACATTTAAAAAAAAACAAGGCAGCAAAGCTGTCAAATGTACAGACAAAAAGCAGGAAATAACTATGCACAAAATAGGCTACTGTCAATTCTGATGCAAAAGTACATTATGTTAAACTGCAAATTCAACATCAAATTTTAATTATGCTCAACAGGTAATACCAATGTAAGTAAAACGTGTAACAAGCATAAGGCTTCAGGCCCATGGNTACATGTATCCTGTCCATCCCTTTCAAATTTAATTTACCAAAGAATGTATGGAAATGGATCCTTATCTTTTAGGTACTATATAAGGCTTTACTTAATCTAACTGAATTTAGTCAAGGAAACAGATGTAGCCAAGACCCTCAAGGGTAAGTAGAAATAGTCCGGGTGGCATGTTATGGGTGGTTATATTTAATTGAAAATTTTTGCAGAAGTCGATTGGGTTTCATAACCTATTCTGACTAATACTTAGTCAGTTCTAAGACGTACTTAGTCATTCAAACTGATTACAATACTTTATATAGCTTTTACTCCTGTATTCTCTGTGGAAAGACTACAGCATATTTTAAGGAAAGATATACTGCATGCTTTTGCTTTTGATATAATTTAATATACTCAGCTAATTTTAAACTTCATTAAATTATATTTTGCATTATTACATTAGCATAAGAAACAAACACAAATATGGCAGCACCATTATTTATTTATTTGTGAGTTTAAATCTGTTGTATTATAAAAGGATGTGTATAAAGCTAATAATGACTACCTATGATCATAATAAAAAATCCCTATATTATACAATATATTTTTTACAATGTATATGCTGTTTTTACATTAGTTGACTTATATGTATCTTCACAATGTTAGCTTACAGTGCTCATGCATGATTGTTATACTAATCCTATTTAGCATTTATTTGACTTTAAGTTTTACATCTATAGTATGTTGATTCTTAATCATCCTACTAAGAGATACTTATGACAGAGAAACTCACTTTAAAATTACTATAAAATCACAAAACACAATTTCAACAAACAGTCCTATAAGCACATCTATTCATCATTAGTATTTACGATTAATTACAGGATTTTGGAAGAGGTAAATTCTCATCATGTTCCCTGCCTTTCAAAATTGAATCCCAAAATTATGCTAACATGTAAATAACACAAAAACAGTGTTAAACATTTCACATGCACTGAATAAACTTACACACACATTTGGGCTTCTTTTCATTTTAGGCACATACAATTCAAGGCACTGAAAAAATCCATTCAGAGCAAATTAGAGTAAAGTTGTTCACTGCAAAATTTACAATCCAGTGCTTTAAATATCAGCATTCACTGGAATTTTGTTTATCTGATACTGTGGCAAATGCTAAGTGTCACAATTTCCCATTACCATATACGCTGTGCAATATGCAGTAAAGCACTAAAATATACAATTAAAGATAATTCTTTACCTTTAAAACAATATATACCACATCACATCTAATACATATGATTACCAGAATATTTATAAAATTAAGAATATTACCACACTTTTAATCACACAATAAATGTTGTTATTTCATGTTATGTGCAAACCTGTTACTTTAATAGCCCAGCAAATCTGAATTTTACTTTGATCTCAAAAATACAACAAAAAGAAGATATGTGCCCATAATTTTGCAGTGTATCTTTTCATAATGAATTCACTTCTCAGCATTTTTATTCCCTGGCATATACATCTCTCTGACCACATTTTGTCTTATCCTATGAGTAATACCAGTTTACAAATCAACATATTTATTTCAGTATCTGACGGTACCCTTGGAACTATTGATCTTTTATTAGATGCACAGAATCTAGTTTACTGTAAACCAAAACAAGTAGGTGTGAGCAAAAATTTAATATCATGATGCTGTTAATGTAAATCAATTTATAAAAGGTCATCAGACCACTTCAGTTACACAACTGTAAATCAATTGCTATTAATGTTCTGTGAATCACTACTGACTGACAAACAATCAATGCACTGCTCTCTGTTTAAAAATGGTGTGGATCTGAAACAACAAGTTCTATAAATAACAGTTCTTTATGAATAGTTTCATAAAGAAGCCTATGCAAGTAATATGGTCAGTAAATCTGTTAAGAGACACAAACCTAGCAGGGGTTTCAGTTGAACTTCCTATTGCAGTGTACTCCTGAACACCAAACAGTTGGTTACCTGAAATGCACCTTTAAGGAGAAAGGTGGCCAGTAGGAAGAATCTTGTTCATGGACACTATCAAGAATGTACCAATGACACTATGCAGAGGGCTGGCTGCCAGTGGGTCTTGACCTCTGTGGCCTCAAGTTCAAATCAAGCTCCCGTCTTACTATGGTACAGCTTGCAATGTTTACTGGGATACACCTTACTCCCTCCTGTCCTGTCAAACTGTTTACGTGATGTGTCCTAAAATGGCAGTCTCAACTGTTGTGCCTCAAATAAACAACTATGGTAAAATACCTGAAAATAATAAACATATATGCTTAGGCATTTAGTTTTTCTATTATGCATTGGTGGAGCAATAATAATATATTGCGAAATCACAAAATGGCTGTATTATGTCAAGAACATTATTTATCAATTGTGTCTGGCAATAAAACTGGTTTGCTAGTCGTAATCACTAAAAGATTTTATCTTAGATTTATGTCGACACAGGTGTGTAAAAACTTTGTAGTGACTCATGTTCTCCTTGGCAATATATTTCATAATGCTGTGCACAAGTATTCCCTTAAAACTCATTTAAAACTATTGAGAACGGAGGACATACACAGGAAATTGTTTGTGGCGTATTGTGCATTATTTGGTAGCTGCTTTACAATTTTTATAACCAGTTGACTAAACTTTTAGTTTGGGATGCAACCAACAACAATTTAAACTTGAAAGAAAATGTGATAGAAGAATATATTTCTTTCATCTTCCCATAAACAGAACTATAACTACTAATTCAGTTTCTTGAAGCATATTATCTTTTCTTATAGATTGCACTCCGTGGTTGCCAAATCCATTGTGTAAATGCAACATTATGAGTAACAGCGTTTGTGTAACAGTCTGCCTTAGAACAGCTCACATTCACAGACTACATTCATAAATCTTTTTCTATAAGCTGATGCCAACACAACTTCATGCTACGACTGTTTGTTTGCTATTCCAGAGCCTTTTTACTATAAAAAGAAGCCTTTCATTTTGGTTGGGAATTATGCTCATAAATCATTCACAAAATGAGCTTCATTGTTATCTCAGCTAATGTTTGGACAGGCGGAAACCATGGTTGCACTATGCACTGCTGCTTCTTTTTTTAATGACATTTTCCAGCACTTGCAATATGCAAAATTCAAAGGCTGCCACTGGTAATCTTGTAAACCCAAGTTACACAACCAAGCAAGATAGATTGCAAAACTTGAAAACTAATGTACCAACTGTAAACATATCAAACTTATCAAATCAAAAGATCACTCTCCACGGATCACTTATTTTAAGACTTAATGATTGCACCTGAGTATACATCCTTTTGACTAAAATAACAATTTATTCAAGGCTAAATACTATAAAATGCACTAACAATTAAGTTCCTATTCAGTCACCTATGCTTTCCCTCTTATACTTATTCTAGCTTGGGTAGCCATCTCCTACAAGGCACTAAGCCATATTTGCAATCTGTAAATGTCAGCCTTATCACACTAAAAATAACCCGTCGCAATATAATTCCATAGATTGAGTAAGAATGGCAGAAAAATATGGCCTCTAAAATATTTAACTATTAGAAAGCAAAAACGTCTAAATAACAACAAAGTGTTCTTGGAATAATGAGCAGATATGATTGCTAGCAAATGTTTGATCTAAATGTCAAAAACAGATGTGCATCGTGAAGGGGAAGGGGGTGGATAACTGAAAACATAGATCATATGTCAAATAAAAGTAATTTGTCAATACATGTGTGGAGTGGCTGCCAAAATCATCAGACTGGCAAAGTGAATTAAAACAAGTCTTATGAGATATTGAAACTGTGCAAATATTAAATATACTTAAGTCTATAAAAAGAGCTCCAATATAGCTGTATGCTACACACACGTACAAGTTCTTAAAGCACAAGAAATCAATGACATGACCCACGCTGAATGGGAAGCCCTGATAAAAAAAAGACAATATTCAATTTCCTGAACACAGTCAAAAGAAGAAGACATTTCACATATGGGAGATATCCATACTTCAAATGCTGATTATTGCCATTTGAAGGGAAATATCATATTCTGGGACCTAAAAATGGGCTCTACAATTGAATGAAATGGAAATTCAAGTCATTTTATGTCATTTTGATCACTTCAGGGGTTAACGAGAGGAGCAGGGGGTTATCAAACAGGTATTGACAGATCTCACATGAACTTTAATTGTTCATCATAATGCTGGTTAGAGCAGAGACGTCAATGGTATTTGGCATGCTTTGCTGTGGGTGGAGATCTACATTTGCACCACTGACAACAACATCAGGTTGATGTCCCCATTTTTTTTCCCTGAAGTGATCAAAATGTGCAGAAAAATACTACATAAGACTAGAAATTATCTTTTTATTGTATTTTGGGACCCAGAAAGTGACATTCACCTCTAAGTAGTTATACTAAGAAAGAAAAAACATAAAGCCAAATGAATAATGTTTCCTAAAACCCTTGGGGGAAATAACATATGACAAATAAGGAATTTGATAACAATTTCTGACTGGTTTACAACAAATGTAAGACTTAACGAGCCTTGCATCATGGAAAATTAAACATATTCCACCAACACAAACGATGTCCTTTAAATGACCTCTAAGCCAGAAGCTGACAAAAACACTAGTGAATAAACTACACTTAAAGGGAGACCTATTTTACAGCTGATAAACGGCAAATGATACATGCTCAAGTTGAATGACGATTGCCCAATCTATCTTTCCAATGCCGGCTTAAACACTTAGGAACAACACTTCCAAGCCAATATAGAACCGTTTTCTCCCAAATGAGTTGTTTTCATATTCAGTCCTGCTTTAGAGGTATGGCAATTACACACAAGGGGCATCAAAGCCAAAGCCACTGGGATATTGCCCATGCAAGCTTTAACTCCAGTTTCATTGAGAAAGGCATGGAATCCTCATTCCACAAACAATAGCTATGTTTGTCTGTGGCTAATAAAACTACTTTATTTAAGACCCTACCTGGTATCAAAGCCATTAGGCTTCAATGTCCTCCCTGAGTATCAGTGTTCTGTACTCTTTAATCCAGCATGTGCTCTGTAACCCAATATCATTGATTCAGAGAAAAGTTTACATAAGACTCTTAAAACTCATTGCCATTGCCCCAATTGTCAAGACACCCACCCCCTCCCCCCAAAGAGAATACAATCCTAGCATTTTGGAAAACTTCTGACATCTGTCTGTATGTCTATTAGACTAGATATACACTTAGCATTACCATTTCACTTTCCATCACTTTTTCTCAGCCACTCTGTGGTCAAGTGTTATCATTTGCAGACAACTGCAACATTACTGAACAGGACACTTCGAAGATATTAAAATGACAGGTAGTGTTTCAGGAAAAGTGAAAATATGAAATAATCATCCAGGTTACTGATTCTATATGCTACTTATGTCTGAAGAAGGAGTAATACTGTTGTGACATTCTGAATCTAGCTGAAGACAACATTGTATCACTGTACTGCTTTTTAACCATACTGATTTCTAGTGAGAATTTTTCCAAAAAAAATTGAATTTTAAATGATCTTTGAAAATTCTTGATCAGTCATTAAAGTTGTTTTCTATCCAATTTTATTTCTCTTAAAACAGTCATAGGAACATTCTCTCAAAAAAGTCCCAAAATTTTTAATAGCATCAAATATTCAAGTCTTCTCTGGTACACATTAAAGGCACATAATGATCGTTTGATATTTATATAGATTTTTACTTTAATTTGGGAGATTTTAACTCTATTATCTTCATCAACAAGATATACCATATCCCAAACTGTTCACTGACTTATGATCCAAAACCCCCTTCTTGTTAGTTCTTAGTATTAAAGTTGCTATTGTTATTGACATAAGGACTGAATAAATTTTCCTTGTGAAAGAAAAAATAAAAATTTTGAACAGAAATACAGGTCCATAGAGCTTATTTTCTCAACAGTTTCAGATAGGGCATACCTTGATGATGAAGGGAAGTTAGCTGAAATTTCCCAGAAAATTCTTATTTTTGCTATGTTAAGATCTAACAAGCAATGTACACCTTAAATTGATTCTTTTCCTGGAAGAATTCTTCATACACTGAACAAATATGACATGCATATCTAAATGAAGGTTTTAATCAGACTGGCATTTACCCCATTGCCATTATGAAGGCAATTTTTCTGTTGTTTAGAACAATGTGCTTGGAGCCATCTTTGACTAGTCTTAATGAGTGTCATGACATAAGTCTTGAATACTCATCATGGAAGATGTTGGTGAATTAGTACTGCTTCATTACACTGATAAGGTTCAATAACTGATCTTGGGAGTGAAATGCTTTCCTCTAAAGAGATATAATCTTCATGTATAGTAAATTGCAGAACAGGATAGCATAAAATTTATCTACCATTTAAAATTTAACTGAGTAAGACACATCGGTCTGAAAAAGATGGTTTTACTAAAAGATTTCTGACTTCTTCAAAATTTATGGTATTACCATGACCATTTGTTGTATAAATAAAACAATAAAAATTCTATAGATCACTGAAAAAAGGGGAAAAATAACATACCTATTGCTGTTCAATAAAAAGCTGGTTCATCATTGCCTCCAGAGCTTCTTATAGAACCCATCCTGGCTATAGGCTCCAAGTCATCAGCAAAGTCATGATCAGTGGTTTGCACACAACCATTTTTCTTAAGAATATACGGACTTGGTAAAGGTGTATGGCTGGTTCTGGAACTTATAGTGGCTTCACTGGTAGAAGAGCTGTCATCTCCATCCATATAGCCATTATAACCCGTGTCTTCTTCATCCTCATCACCCATTTCTGCTAGCTCTTTAGCTGAACAGGTGGGAGTATCCACTGGAACAGTGTTATGGAAGCGTGAGTAGTCCACCTGGTACTCGCCATTCTCCTTCTGGAATGTCACCAGGCGTTCAAAGCGATGGCCCCATAGGATTTCTCCTGGCAGGTATGAACTCCTGGCTTGTGTTGTCATTCCTGTGGACTCCACTATACCCTCTAGAATGACAATAAGTTCAAAGTTGTCTCTGTATAAGTCTTCTGCAGATATTTTCCAAAAGGGGCTGTTTTCATCTATGACATGGGTGACTATGAGAGGCCAGACCAGGAATAATCTATCCAAACCTGCATCAAAACCAAGGTTTATGTCAAACTGATGCAGAGGCATTACTTCGCCCTCCTTGGATAGTTTCTTTTTTATCATGGCTGCACGCACATGAGCTTCAACGATGTGCGATTTTCTCATGTCCCCTACACGAAACAGAAGGCACAACTGCCCATCACGTTTGCATATAACAGCATTTTTGCTAAACATGAGTGTTTCCGCTCGTTTCTTAGGCCGTGCCAATTTGGCAAATACAATGCCAGTCATCATGGCTTGTACGATAACCCCAAAACATGACTGCATCATCATAACGATAATGGCCTCTGGGCACGATGCTGTAGTATGGCGAGAACCATAGCCAATGGTGTGCTGGGTCTCTACTGAGAATAGTAGTGCAGTTGTGAATGAATACACTTCATTCACACATGGTTTCCAGTCGCTATCACCTTTCTGGTATGCTTCAATGTCTCCATGAGAAAATGCAATCAACCACCAAACCATTGCAAACACCAACCATGATAATACAAACCCCAAGACAAATATCATCAAACTATACCTCCATTTAATGTCAATCAGTGTGGTAAAAATATCTGCCAAGTAACGTCTCCTAAGTTTCTTAATGTTTGTATGCGATATGTTGCACTCTCCATTCTTGTACACAAGGCGACGCCGCATTCGCTTGGAATAACTTTTGGCCCCCCTGTGTAATAAAGGCCCGTTTGGAGACATAATCTGGCTGCGAGCAGCAAACTGCTGGTACGGATCTTTTAACTCGTTGTATGTGTTGTAGTCATCCAACTTGACTTTATTATTTAAACCATCTGTATCTTGATTTCCTAGATCATGTAAAGGTAATGCATCTCTTGATCTATCTGTATCGTTTCCTCTTTCTTCCATTTTACACTTCGATCACAGACACGGTACGTACATGCACTTCTGAAGTACTATGCAGTTTTCTGTGTTCCTTGCATAACCATCTCCTGTTCATACAGAATTTTTTAATGGATTTCCCCAGCAAAAGTAAACTTTTACTCCAGTACTGATGTCACGTCTTACTGATTGCAACACCTCAGTTGATCGCATCTGGCTGTCTTACATCACTTCTGCTTGATGCTCCTAAAAAGAAAAACAAACAGATACTCATTAGTTGAATGTTTTCAAACTCGTACATGAGCCGTACATGAGCCGAGAAAGTTCATGNCTGCTAGCTCTTTAGCTGAACAGGTGGGAGTATCCACTGGAACAGTGTTATGGAAGCGTGAGTAGTCCACCTGGTACTCGCCATTCTCCTTCTGGAATGTCACCAGGCGTTCAAAGCGATGGCCCCATAGGATTTCTCCTGGCAGGTATGAACTCCTGGCTTGTGTTGTCATTCCTGTGGACTCCACTATACCCTCTAGAATGACAATAAGTTCAAAGTTGTCTCTGTATAAGTCTTCTGCAGATATTTTCCAAAAGGGGCTGTTTTCATCTATGACATGGGTGACTATGAGAGGCCAGACCAGGAATAATCTATCCAAACCTGCATCAAAACCAAGGTTTATGTCAAACTGATGCAGAGGCATTACTTCGCCCTCCTTGGATAGTTTCTTTTTTATCATGGCTGCACGCACATGAGCTTCAACGATGTGCGATTTTCTCATGTCCCCTACACGAAACAGAAGGCACAACTGCCCATCACGTTTGCATATAACAGCATTTTTGCTAAACATGAGTGTTTCCGCTCGTTTCTTAGGCCGTGCCAATTTGGCAAATACAATGCCAGTCATCATGGCTTGTACGATAACCCCAAAACATGACTGCATCATCATAACGATAATGGCCTCTGGGCACGATGCTGTAGTATGGCGAGAACCATAGCCAATGGTGTGCTGGGTCTCTACTGAGAATAGTAGTGCAGTTGTGAATGAATACACTTCATTCACACATGGTTTCCAGTCGCTATCACCTTTCTGGTATGCTTCAATGTCTCCATGAGAAAATGCAATCAACCACCAAACCATTGCAAACACCAACCATGATAATACAAACCCCAAGACAAATATCATCAAACTATACCTCCATTTAATGTCAATCAGTGTGGTAAAAATATCTGCCAAGTAACGTCTCCTAAGTTTCTTAATGTTTGTATGCGATATGTTGCACTCTCCATTCTTGTACACAAGGCGACGCCGCATTCGCTTGGAATAACTTTTGGCCCCCCTGTGTAATAAAGGCCCGTTTGGAGACATAATCTGGCTGCGAGCAGCAAACTGCTGGTACGGATCTTTTAACTCGTTGTATGTGTTGTAGTCATCCAACTTGACTTTATTATTTAAACCATCTGTATCTTGATTTCCTAGATCATGTAAAGGTAATGCATCTCTTGATCTATCTGTATCGTTTCCTCTTTCTTCCATTTTACACTTCGATCACAGACACGGTACGTACATGCACTTCTGAAGTACTATGCAGTTTTCTGTGTTCCTTGCATAACCATCTCCTGTTCATACAGAATTTTTTAATGGATTTCCCCAGCAAAAGTAAACTTTTACTCCAGTACTGATGTCACGTCTTACTGATTGCAACACCTCAGTTGATCGCATCTGGCTGTCTTACATCACTTCTGCTTGATGCTCCTAAAAAGAAAAACAAACAGATACTCATTAGTTGAATGTTTTCAAACTCGTACATGAGCCGTACATGAGCCGAGAAAGTTCATGACTGATGCGCCTCTGGGAGAATGATCAATAAAGATCAAAGAGGAAGAAACCACCAGTTCTTTGTGAGGAGACATCTTACTTAACAGATTACTGAGAGATGAAAATGGACATCTTTTCTCTTACCTCATTTGTGCATTGGAAAAAATAATGTGATATTGGGGATATTTAGTTTCATCTAAACGTTGAAAAATATTATATCCCGTTATGTAAATCACCAACACTAAGGAGTATTGGTGATCCACATAATGAATCTCCCAATAAAATCTCCTATACATGATACAAAACATCCTTAGCCTCAATTGCATTTTTCATTGTTAATCCCAGGAAAGTGTCTGAAATTCCTTGAAAAGCCTGTTCATTAAATCAGTGTGCTAGCTTCAAGAGAGCCAAAAATATATCTCATCAAATTTCAGTGCTATCTGTAAATTTTCCTTTACATTAGCCTATTTACCGTATATCAGTAATCCCCCTACTTACTTTTCTGTATCTAGATCATGGAAACAAAATCCGAATTTCCCCAGTAAATCAGCATACCTCTGCTTCCATTTGTTACATAATAAATTAACAAAATAAAAACGATGAAAGTATGAAAATGGAGCAGGTTAGGATCCTTAATGGCAGGTATAAGTCATTCCCTGGCTTGCAAATAATAGGTAAATTATAGGCCCGATTCTTAGAATGAACAGATCATTAGCATTCATACAGTGAGATAACGAGTCTTATATAATATAGTTCCAAGGAAATAAAAATTTATCACTGGCCTCCCCATAGTAACAGCGGCGAACTTTGAAACCTAAGTCAAATTAAAATGAATGACGTAAGACTGGGCTGGTAGAGATTTTGTCATCTATGCCTACTGTACGTACTTAAGGCATGATGGCTGAAAGAATTAAAAAAAAAAATCAATATCAGATAACGCAATGTTGTTGTAATCTGATTTCAAACAAGTTTTGATATATTTCTAATAGTGACTCAGGATTAAAAGTCTTGTAAATTGTCATTAGCAACAAAAACTGTAGTCCGCATACGTAATATGTTTTATTGCACCATCTCACCTTTTGCATATGCAAGCAGCTTAAGTTGACATCATTTTCAGTGTCTTTTACTGTGCTATCATTTGCCATCAAATCTGAATGACCATACAAGAGCTTTATAGCTGTCTACAAAACTATGCTTGACAAGAAATACTTTACCCATTTTATAAATGTTTACTGCCTCTTTGCAAAATACTTAATAGGACTTAGTAAGGGTAGCAGCAGTAACAGTGTTTACTAACTCAGCAGCAGTGCCCATTTCTTAACATGTATCTAGGTTCAGTTGCTATAAAAAAAAGGATTAAGCAATAGCAGAACAAACTACCCAAAAGAGAACTGATTCATCCATCCACCAGAGAGCCGATCTAAAACTACAGCTGCAATGCATGCTCCAGGGTAACTTAAAGCGTTTCAATAAAACAGATTGATAAATCATGCTGGCTGCTTCACATGTAGTCCTTTGTAGTGTTTGGTATAATGTATTACTTGGGTTTCTATAAAGGTTTCCCATGTCTATTAGAGACAAGAGACATTCATGTCCAGTGAAATAATATGTTTGTTTCATAGGGACGGTCATTTCTTATACTCATTTTAAATGTGCCATGTTTCATGCCATGTACAAAGAGGAGCAAATTATATATATATATATATATATATATATATATATATATATATATATATATATATATATATATAAAAGACTCATCACCTTGATCATCTGCCTAACCTGTTAACAGTAACCACCTGTTCATGAAATTGTGAATATTTTTCTAAATTGAATTGCAACGCCAAGGCAATAAATATATATACATTACACTTCCTCTTGAAAGATCAACAGGAGCAATTTGCCAGTTGTTTTAGTCTGTATGAGTATTGCTCACTGCATCCTTTCCTATCAGGTATTAAAATGTGGAATCAATCAAAAATACATTATGGTAATGCCAGACAGACAGAGGAGAACAATTGGACATCATGATCTTTTAGTGCACTATGACTGAGGTTGCCTTTTCTGAGACTGTAAAAAGATCAACAGAAGTCATCAGAAAACCAGACAATAAATCCATGCTTATTTTAATAAATTTATGCTTATTAAAGTAACATTGACAAATTTTTTTAATAGAAGCAGGGGCCTAGTGCCAGTGCAGATCATCTGTCACTTGCAGTCATCGAAGAGTTACTGCAAGTTAATGTATTATACATATTTAACCTATCTGTTTTACAACGTTAAAGATCACCTGTACTTATACATTACACAGTCACATACTGGTACACTATGAAATCAAAGCAATAGTTTTATATACATATAACACTGATTGTACAGTATTGTTAATCCTAACAAAACCTTGTCCTTCAACAACAGTGACTTTATAGCACAATCATGTATATGTGACCAGGGCTGTTTTCAAAACAGCAACATATAGCAACATACAACTGCTAATACATTTGAATTGCAAAGTGGATTCATGGTTCTGGCATTGTATGCTAAGATTTAGGTGCAAAGAAAGGCATCAGGTACAAAGGCTGGCGTACATAAATACTCACTACGTGCTGTGAAGGTGAACATAACAGTCTGACCCCATCATCTTCTCACCTTCCAGTCTTACCAAAAGACTATATACCACTGAGAGAATAGGAATATATATATATATATCACATGTATTAGGGTATCAAATTGTTTTTCTTATCTGTCTGGCATTACCACTAAATCAAACAATTAAGTATCCACAAATATTGCATACTTAACAACCAGACATACAGAGAGAGTGAAAACTTATGCCATGTTTCTACAAATTAAGCCATTTAAAGCACCATAAAATACTGCATGCAGATATGCTGTGATCTATCCAAGGACACTTAGCATGTTACACTGACAATTTAACAGACCTGACAGAAAGGTCTTAATGATGTTACCTTTACCTTTTACTCACTCATTGGTCTTTTCAACCAAGTAAGAGATTACCTGAGGAGAGTATCCTGCACTTCCAACTAGACTGCAAATAACTGTGATCAAGAATAGCCAACACTCTCAAGTTCACCTCTATTTAACTTGTGAAAATGATCCCTAAAACTTAATTTAAAGTTAGGCACACCTGAATTTTCATGCATGGCTGAATTTTGACGTGACAGTGATATAATCAACTTTCTTAAACTGCAATTCAGCCCTGTGAGACTATTCATACAAACAAAAGAAAAACTGCGGCCTCTTTGAATACCAACTTTGTAGTCCAGTCATGGATCTTCTTATGAAGAGCTCTGTGATCACCCACCTTTAGCCAGGGCTTTTTTGCCAGGATTTTTATTTAAAAAAAAACTGTGATCAACTTTTGAAGTTTATGATGTAAAATAGGAAACTTCACAGTGAATACACCTTTTTTTTCAAACACACCAAAAGCTTTCAGATGCTAA